CACCTTCATCATCAGTCCTTCCAGTGAATATTCAGGACTGATTTTCTTTAGGATGGACTGGTTGGATCTTCTTGCAATCCAAGGGACTCTCAAGAGTCTTCAACACCACAGTTCAAAAGCATCAATTCTTCGGCGCTCAGCTTTCTTTATAGTCCTACTCTCACATCCATACGTGACTACTGGAAAAACTGAAAAATCTTACCTATTAGTCTTAAATTCCAAAGTATATTTTATATACAAACTGTTATAGGTTAGCTCCATCAAAGTTGAGATTACTTTCTTCATAAATAATTATTTTCTGACATGGCATATATTTTAATACATTGGGAGATTGCTTTTACTTTTATGACATTTTTGTTATTATAGTTTAAAAGATATTAAAGCTTTTTTTCCTTGGAAAATAGAAAATTGTTGACTTGGAACTAAAAAAAAAAAGTTAGAATATATTTTTCAATGGTCATAATAATACTAAGACAGAAATTAAACTGCGTTTGCTTTCCCCAATGGAGAAGGCAATGGCAACCCACTCCAGTACTCTTGCCTGGAAAATCCCATGGACGGAGGTGCCTGGTGGGCTGCAGTCCATGGGGTCGCTAAGAGTCAGACACGACTGAGCGACTTCCCTTTCACTTTTCACTTTCATGCATTGGAGAAGGAAATGGCAACCCACTCCAGTGTTCTTGCCTGGAGAATCTCAGGGACGGGGGAGCCTGGTGGGCTGCCGTCTGTGGGATTGCACAGAGTCGGAGACGACCGAAGTGACTTAGCAGCAGCAGCAGCAGCTTTCCCCAAAAACTCTTTCCTATTACAAACTTCTGGAGAAATAGTGTAATGGAGGAATAATGCATGATGATCAAGTAGCCTCTAACTTAGTAGGCCTGTATGTCTGAATGAAAGTACCAGAAAGAGAAAGAAATACTTAGAAAACTAACATTAGATACTTAACATGTAGAAAACTACATATCTGAAATCAACAACCAGCGTCATACTTCACCATTCATGGAACTCAGGAATCAAACAGTCAGGTCTGCTATACCAGCAGAATGTTGGTTGATAAAGATTTATCCCACTGGGTCTACACGTTTTAATACACAGGTTGGAGACATGAGACTAGCTAGTGAGGAGCTCAGACATGCTTGTGAGTGTGAGTAGAGGGACTGGTACTCAAGAGGAGTTTCTGATTACTGCCGTAATGGCAAAATAACTTACCAGGAAAATCTGGATGTTAGTTACGCGGTGAAAGAAAAGTGAATAGAAAATTTGCACACATACACCCAAAAAAGGTAGATGGCCATTATATCTTTAAAAGAATGTTCAAGTTCACCAGGGGTAAAAGAGATGCATAATTAAATAAGATAATTTTATAGTATATGTTAAATTGGTGAGATTAGAAATAATACCACCAAGCATTGACAACTGCTATTGTATACTGTGGATGGAACTCAGATTGCTGTGCTTGCTTAATTTAGAAAGCAGTCTAAGCAATATGTATCCATTGCCCTATCAATATGGCAAAATCTTACTACATGATCTTCCTTTTTAAAAAGCAAGTTACAAAGATGCAAGTATCCATTCTGTTTTTGCAGAAATGTATATGTGTACTTACACCTGGGGAAAAGAGTTCAGAAAAGAATATCTAGATATTTGTGGGGGGAAATTAATAATCTCTGATCATGTTTCCAATCTTAGTAAGATTGGAATGGTTTATCTACTTTTCCATGTACCTCTATTTTTATAATTATTTATAGTATGTGTATTTATATAATTGGAGGAAAGAACTTTTATTTGCAGTAAGGTACAAATCATTGGAGAAAAGTCATTATTAAAAAAAAAAAAACACAGGAAATTTTAGGTAGTATACATACAGTGATCTGAGAACACCATTTTATAATATATATTAGTTATTTACCAGGCAGATGTATTCATAGGTCAATGGTCTATTCCAGTCAAGCATTTTGTATTTTTACTTTTTAAAAGAAGTATAAGTGAAAAGCCTTATGAAGTTTATCCGTTATATTTTGAAATTTATTTCTTTTTGTGACATGTTGTCTAACTTTGGTTCCATTTCGAACAGTAGAAGTAAAGCAAAATTATTTATTTTGTCCTTTAAGACAATAAGAAATCATAGCTATTTCCCAGTATTACAACTTCAGTTATTGAATTCTAAGAGTCAGTGGATCCTGGATTTAACTTAAATGTGGTTTTTTCTTTGGTCCTCTTTGTACATCCAGTTTTTTTTTCCAACATTTTTTTTGAAAATTTCAAAACTTAAGAAAGGTGGGACGCTGATATCTACCACTTTGATTATATGATTAAATTTTTACTGTTATTGCTTTATCTACCACCTCGATTATGCAATTAAATTTTTACTATGATTGCTTTATCTCCGATTTATACAACTCTCTGATCCTCAACCCATCTGAAAGTTCGTCTTATTTTTTTGTGCATTTGAAATGAAGTTGCAGATATCGGTGTTGGTGGTGGTTTAGTTGCTGTTTGTTTGTGCTAAGTCTCTTCAGTCGTGTCCGACTCTGTGTGACCCTATGGACTGTAGGGTCAGGCTCCTCTGTCCATGGGATTCTCCAGGCAAGAATACTGGAGTGGGTTGCCATTTCCTCCTCCAGGGGATATTCCTGACCCAGGTTTCGAACCTGCATCTCTTATATCTCCTGCATTGGTAGGCAGGATTTTTTTTTACCACTAGCGCCGCCTGGGAAGCCCTTAGTTGCTGAGTTGTATCCAACTCTTGCAACCACATGGGCTGTCACCTGCCAGGCTTCTCTGTCCATAGGATTCTCCAGGCAAGAATACTGGAGTGGATTGCCATTTCCTTCCTCAGTGGATCTTCCCGACTTAGGGATCACACCCAGGTTTCCTGCACCACAGGCAGATTCTTTACTGACTGAGCTACCAGAGAAGCTTTTCAGTACCGGTATACTTCTCTCTAAATATTTCAGCATGCATATCACTAACTTGGGCTCAATATTTAGAATTCACCTTTTTTTCTTTTGAGGCAAATTTAAAGACAGTAAAATATACGTCTCAAGTGTCCTATTGGATGTATTTTAACAAATGAATACACTTGTGATGACCCAATCTCCTGTCAATTAGTGTCACTCCAGAAAGTTCCCTCATACCTCTTCCCAGTCAGTCAACCCCCACTCCTTTCAACCCCTGACTCCAAGAACCACTATAATGATTTTTTTCTTCCATACATTACTACTGTCTATTCTAAAACTTCATGTAAATGAAATTACACAGTGTGTATTCTGTATAAAGATTCTTTCATTCATCATAAAGTGTTGAAATTCAGTCATGTGGCATATATCAGTAGTTTTTTTATTGCTGAGTAATATTCCTAATTTCAAACCATTTTAATATGAACTTTTGAGATTTCTGTAGTAAATATTGTCATTTGATATTTCTTGGTTTATGCTTTAATAAATTATGCTCTAATGAACAGTGTACTTGATTTCCTGTTATTTGTTTATACTATCTTACAACATAAGTTAATAGTAAGTTGTTATTTATCAGATATAATTGAAGTTCAGAGAACTTAAATGCTTCTCTGAATACAAACACTGTGTTCTCAGAAGAGTACTATATATAGAATTTCACTTAGTTCACCTTAATAGGAATTTAAAGATAAGAGGTACATTGATAATAGCATAACTCTATTTGAAAAGTCAACCATTTCAATTATTGGCATATACTAATTGTTTTAAAAGGAAGTGGGGGAGCCATATGTGGATTTCAAATCTATATTTCTGTAATCTGCATTTATTTGCCGAGATGGTGCTTTCTAAACAGATAATCTATTCCTTAGAGCAATATGTAAACAGTAAGTACTCTGTAAGTAGCATGATTTAATAAAGAGTTGACCTATTGTCCCTTCTTTGCATTAGCTAGATACATCTCCCTTAATAAATGTCAGCTTTGATTTCTTCCTTCAGGTGAGAATTTTTACAGTGTGTTTTTCTCTTTAGAGACACTTAGAAATTTGCCTGAAGCTAAGAACACTCCATACCACCCCCGTGTGCTTAAAACACAGACCTCCTAAAGCCCCTGCATTCATCTTTTGCATCTCATATTACAAATTCAATTAATGGAGTCTTCAGGAATCACCTTATTTTCTCTCTTTTACTTAAACCCACATTCATTTCAGTCCCAGGACATGTTAGTTTTACACCAAAAAATAACCCAAATCTGACTACTTGTCACATTTCTAGTACCTCTATTCTAGACCAGATCTGATCATCTCTCACCTACACGCCTCTGTGCTGTGTGCTGTGCTAAGTTACTTCATTTGTGTCCGACTCTTTGCGACCCTATGGACTGTAGCCCACAGGTTCCTCTGTCCATGGGATTCTCCAGGTAAGAATACTGGAGTGGGTTGCCATGCCCTCCTCGGGATATTCCTGACCCAGGGGTCAAACCCAAATCTCTTAATGTCTCTTGCATTGGCAGTCAGGTTTGTTTTTTGTGGTTTTTTTTGTTTGTTTGTTTGTGTTGTTTTTAACCACTAATGCCACCTGGGAAGCCCTTCCATGACTCTAGTAGCCTCTCTTTTAAAATTTTTATTTTTTAATGGAATATAGTTGATTTACATAATATCCTCTGAACTGGTCTCTCTGCAAACCACTTTCCTTACAGCAGCCAGTTTCTAAAAATGCATGTGTTTCTGTTGTTTTTCCATTGGACTTGGAATAAAATCCAAATTGTTTGCAGTTCTGTTGTCCTTAGCCTGGCTGGTTGCATTATACCCTGTGTGTGTCTTGTTCAGGAGTTAGAGATCTGGGCAGGGAAACTTGAGTTGCTTCAAAGTAGTTTAATTAGTATGAGCATTTTTACCTTATAGTTTTAATAGAATTCCTGTACCTTAGAATCATAGTTTATTAACTGGAAAAAAAATCATAGGTAATTGATTTCCAGTCCCTTATTTTGGCATTTAAATAAAAAGCTGTTTAATTCTTCTTTTTCTTTTTTTTTCTGTTTTTGATTTATTACAGATTGAGCCGGGAGCATCAGTACCCTTGATTCTTTAGACTTTGCAAGATATTCAGATGATGGTAACAGGGAAACCGATGAGAGAGTGGCAGGTAAGATTCTAAAGACAGATTTGGATGTTTTTGACATTGCAGAAATAATGAAATGACTTGAAAAATTCTCTTCCTTCTACAGTTCTGTATATGAATAGAATTAGACAGTTATCATACAAAGTTATATTACCAATTTATTGGCTTCAGGGAGCATTCCTGAATGTTCAGCAACCCCCAGCTGCTCTTCCTGGTGACGCTCTGAGTTTTTGGTTATGTGTGCCTACAACTACTGAGTTCTGCTTACAGCTAACAGTTTACAGCCATATAATTATAAAACTGGTGTAAAGCAGGTGTAAGTCAGCCATGGTTTAGTGCAAAGTTATTTGGACCTTGCTTTCCTCATTCCTTTTATCCCCAGACCAGGGCTAAGTAATATTTGCGTGGTATATACCAAGGCAACTCTGCTGATGGTTAAAAATTGCTTTAAATACTGATGCTTTACATGCTTTAAATGCTTTAAATTGCTTTAAATGCTGATTGGTGATCACAGCTTTGTCTTCATTCCTTGGATTCTCCCTGGCCACCACTGCATCCCTCTAGAAACTTCATTTGACTTTCCTATGATCCTGAAAATAGAGGTTGTTAATGCTCAGTCCACTCAGGGCTTCCTGGACTTTGCCCATTCCAAAAAGAAGACCAGCATCCTTTTTAGTTGCTTGGTTCCACATTCCAGTCTCCTTCCCCTCTCTACCCTCTCTCCAGTTTTGCCTTTTTGGCATCACCATAGGATCTGTAGGGACTTCAGAAGACCAATTTGTACCCTCTGTATTCTGCCCACATCAGATGAGGCTAGTTGATTCTTCTGGGGGTCCACCCTGAATTTACCAGTGTAGAAGCCCTGGCTCCTCAGATGTCAAGTGACTGGTACCTTTCTAGTGCTTCAGACTGTGACTGTCAGTTATTGAAGTAGTTCCTGAACGTCTTTATAGGAACTGTAGTTTTCACGGGATGTTGATTCTGAGATAGATGGGAAGCCACCCTCAGCTACGTATTTTAACCCACCGGAATGGGGGGCACACCTGGCGCAGGAAAGATGCCACATGGGACAGGTGGAGCCTTTTAGGGCCCTGTGGGGTCAGGGAACATCCACACTGTGGCTTCCTCTCTTCATCAACCCTGTTGAATTTTTTTTTTTCCCTTTACTGGAACAGGGTTGTTAAAACCTGCCCATATATCTGCCTGTCATAGTCATCATGAATAAAGATGAGTGCTCTTGAGCGCTAATTTTTATATAACACTCGCTCCTTTTTGAACATTTTGTAAATGTATGTTAACTCATTAGGTTATAGAATTATCCTCATCTTCCACTCCCCAAGAAACCGAGGCACTCAGAGAGTCTTAAGTGGCAGAGCTAAGACTCAAATGTAGATAGCCCAGCAACAGAGCCCACGACTGATCGTACCATATGCCGCCTCTTAGAGTGAAGGATTAAGTTTGACCTATGTGAAATGACATTCCAATATGTGCTTTTCATTTATTGCTTGAGAAGAGAGCTACTGGATGTTTAAAAATCTCAAACAGTATTACATGGTTTAGGGGAAAAAATGATGCAATCATTTTTACTTCAGCAGAGGCTCAGAGAGGAGAGAGCCGTGGGAACAGCAGCAGTATCAGCTGAGGGGGAAGTCATTGGAAGACTTCAGTGCGGCTGCCTGCTCGGTAGTCGTGATTTAGTCATAAGCATTGTTAATTGACAGCTGTGTCAGAAGAGCAGATCACATCAGTAATATCTGAAAATTAGCAAATCAAGTGGGGATTATTTCAATAATTTTAGGACTCATCCTCCTAATTATATCATTTGTTAAGTGGCATTATGTTATATTTAATTATATAGTAAATGTTAGATATTATATGTTTTATGTTATTTATTAAGTGTTAAATACATGGTATTTTAGTTTCTTTGAAACTAACCAAATATATTGTTTTGTATATTGTATTATTGTTCAAATGGTTATGTATTTGAAAATAACTTCAACCCAGAAATAGACCACATAATTATTTTCATTCCTCTAATTTTTATTTGAAAACCTGAAAAATTTAAGAGGTTCATCATTATTCTTGTTAATAGGTATGTTGGTATTTTTAATTAAGGGAAACATGGACGTAAAAGCAAGATGTTATAACTAAGCAAAATGCTATAACCAAACATAACTAAGAATGAAAATTTTAAATAGTTGGTAGGTTTTTTTTATGATATAAATTTATTTATTTTAATTGGAGGCTAATTACTTTACAGTATTGTATTGGTGTTTCCATACATTGACATGAATTCGCCACGGGTGTACACGTGTTCCCCATCCTGAACCCCGCTCCCCATCCCATCCCTCAGGGTCATCCCAGTGCACCAGCCCCGAGCACCCTGTCTCATGCATCGAACCTGGACTGGCGATTAGTTTTGACCTTATATTTTTAATCTGAAGATTATACTCTTTCTCTAAGTTTGGGGAAATAAAGTAATTTTTGCTTACTATATAATGCTAATATATAAATACATGCAGTCTTGAGAAAGACCAATAAGTGATATGTGATATCACTTATATGTGGAATCTAAAAATAATACCAGTGAATATATATATAAAACAGAAATAGACTTACAGACATAGGAAACAAACTTGTGGTTCCCCAAAGCAGAGAGAGAGGGGAGGATGGGACAGGTTAGGAGTACAGGAGTAACAGATACGAACTACTAAACATGGGTTTACTTCATAGCACAAGAGTTTATATCCAATATCTTGTAATAACCTATAATGAAATATAGGCTACAAAAAAATGGAATGACTATGCTATACACCTGAAACTAACACAATGTTATAAGTCAGTGATACTTCAGTATAAATGAGTGAATGGATGCAGTCTTTCATCTTCACTGGGAAAAGGGAGAAAATACATGTTATTCCAAGATAATAGCCTTTAGACTCTTAGGGCTCTTGTTGTTGAACCACATGTGTGATATGTGGCTGAAAATTTAAATTAATCACAATTCCCATTTCCAAAGAGACTTTTGTCTCTTTACTAACCATTGGTAGTAACTTAGAAGCTAATTGAAAGACCAGTAATTGAGAAGAGATAATTACCGTGTCATCTGTCATTGGATCACATGTAAACCTTACTGAGAAAGAACAAAAATCTGTTTGATATTCCTGTATCAGTCTTGGGCAGAAGGAATTTATAGATAACACAGGTTTTGAGTCCATTGCCCCATGATGCAAATGTAGGGTCTGCTCTAACCATTAATAAACTGCTTATCTGACATATATATATGTGTGTGTGTGTGTGTGTGTGTGTGTGTTTATTTATATATATATATATATGTATGTGATGATTTTCATCGTCATTTTCCTAAATTTAAAAATCTGGTTATTTTTTCAAGTCTGTGCAGGTGTTCCTTAAATGAGGAAAAGATCTCTAAATGAACATATGTTTATAGAGCACCATTATTTTGAGTTTTGTGCTTAAAGAACTAAGACTAACAAATATTTTAAGATAGTAGTGATAAACACTTGCATATATCTCAAGTCAAGAGTGCCTGATCTTTAACTAAGCACTCAAGTACCCCTGATACAATACCAGTATTATCCAACCTTGATTGAGAAATAACTGTTTCAGCTAATCTAGAATGGCTGATACTAACTTAGTCATTAATTTTTTGGTTTATAACATGCAGTATTACAATATACCTATATCTTTGCAGTTATTACTTTAGTTCCACTAAAATTGCATTCAGCGGTGTTGGGCTTGTACAGAGTTGGGATAGTGGAGTGAGCAGGCTGGTAGCTGGTCCCTATAGTGTTTTTTAAAAACGTTCACTTCTTCAAACATTCTTATGAAGAATTATAACATTTGAAAACTATTTGGAGGTTGCTTGGTATAATGTATCACTTTACAAAATAGTAAGTTTTGAGTTTTAATCCAATATCTTTTAATAAAGAAGTGACAAGTTCATATGTGTGTAAATATATCTGTTCAGACCTTTCATGTAAAACTTTTTCACATAACTGCAATGATTTGATCATACTGTGCCTTTATAAAGATGTGCTGTAGCTTCAAAGATATGCCTTTGTCTTTTAAAGTCTGTATTCTTCTTGAGAAACATGCAGCAGAGTGAATCCGCTTTGATAAGCACTAGCTTTAAAAGCAGTGGTGACTTTTAATGGCATTGACAATGTGTGTGTAGATGTGCATAAAAATATAAATTCTTGCCGTCTGACTTGGGTTTTTCTGGCTTTCTGTGCCTTGATCCTTCATTGTTTTGCTCTTGGTCACCTAAACTTTCACCAGTTGAATTGAGTTTTTTTTTTTTTCTCCCCACAGTTTGTGTTTTAACCAGTTTTTTTGTTTGTTTTGTTTTTTCATATTCTGTCATTCTGGTGCAGGGCATTTCTGATCTGCAATTGTTCTGTAATATGTCTTAGTAAATTGTAAGTGATACTGAAAGTATGATATGTATACTTCCTTTGCTTATGGTATAGTGAAGTGCTTTTAAATCAAAACCTAGAGTTTTGAAATAGAAGAAAAATAAATCTATTCTGTATTTACCTTACATGTCGAATCTGTGCAGTCTGACTTTAAATACAAACTCTAAGAGTTTCCAGCAGTGTAATTTTTAGGGAAAATGTTTCTACTTTGTTGCACAGAAATGTTTGCAGATCAGCATTGCTGATGACCAAAAAAAGAAATAGTCATATACACGTCATCTGATTTTTAGCTGTGCTTCCATGTTGCTGCAGTGAAATTCTGTGCATCAAAATAATTGGCCTTCATGTACTAGATGTGATTCAGTTACATCTTAAGTTTTTAATGAAAATGTGCAAACTGAGTGAATTCTATTTTTTCCATATATTTTTATAGCTTTGTTGTCTCTGATAGCATTTCATTTGCCATCTTATTTTTTCTGTTTATTAGTCAATCAGGAAAAAGTTGCATCTCTAAAGTTTTAAATTTACTCATCTTTATGCAGAACTATTTAAATAATATTTTTAATATACAGTTGTGACAAAGATCACTTAATTTTCTCAGAGCTTTTCTTCACAGAAATGACATTTTCCCCCCAATACTTTTTTCTTCATAGCAATATTTGTATATTTTAAAGAAAATTCCCAGTAAAGACATAGTTAAATCTTGGTCATGATGAAACATTTCAAAAAGCTCATTAGAATGTTTCCTCAGTATTCATGTTCATTGTATTAGACTCTGCAGTAACAGGAGAAATCTTTTAAGTTTCATTAGTACCTCTTAATGTGAACAAATATCTATTTGAAGAGTTGTCAGAAACTTTGAAATTCTACTTAATTTTATTCAGTATCCTTAGATAACTACACTCTTAGAATTGTACACAATCACTTTAGAATGATTTTAATTGTAACTTAAAAAACAAACATTATGTCTGTTCTTTGGCTTTAAATGAAACCTAAAATAAATCCCTTGGAACTTTTTTTAGATACATGTTTAACATATCTGTGCTTGTTTATAGAAGACATATACTTGTTTGTAGGAAAATTGATAGACATCCCACATTTGTAAGATACTTAAAACATACTTCTTTAGCATCTTAATGAAGGAATATATTCACTGTTTCTGTATGTTGATTTATAACATTATTCTAGATATTTTTTTTTTAATCCTAAGATTTTCTTTAACTGTATTTGCTAGGACTTTATCTAAGTTTTGTGTTTTCCCCTAAAATTATGTCACCTGAAAACATTCATTACATTTCTTACCTAGACTGAGTGAAGCACAATACCTAAGGCTTTTATTTGCCTAAATGAGAATATGCCATAGATTTTATTTTTAAATAGAGCTATTCCTTGTCAGACAGCTAGAACATTTGATCAGTAGTCCCCTGTATTCTAAAACTATGGAAAACATTCACCAGTTTGCTTGCAAATCAACTCTGCTGCATGCGTTCACAAGTTTCATAAAGATTGCATGCTTTCTGTTTTCAATACAAATTGTATTTTTTTTTCATACCCATCCTTGCTTTTTATTTTTTATTTTTGTTTCCCTTTTCTTGGTTGGATGCCTGTGTGTGTTTATTCCAAATCCCTGTCCAGTCCTGGAGTTTGAACTATGGAAAGCCAAGGAGACCATTCAGGCCCTCCGAGCCAACCTGACAAAGGCTGCAGGTGGTGTACATACAACTTTTTTGAGACTTTTTTCTACTTTAACAATGTAGAAGTAGCTGAGATATTTTCAAATGTAAAAGAGTAAAATATTATTTGTCTTTTCTTCCACCAGAACATGAAGTTCCTTTACAGGAACGAAAAAATTACAAATCAAGTCCTGAAATTCAGGTGGGTGAATGTCAGATCTAAAAGTATCTTCCATATGAAATGGTAGGACAAGTATTGAAAGAGGAAGACTTACAGTAGTGTATCCATCTTTTATCTGTCTCTAGGAGCCAATCAAACCTCTTGAAAAGAGAGCTCTAAACTTCTTAGTCAATGAATTTTTATTGAAGAATAACTACAAGCTGACATCAATAACGTTTTCAGATGAAAATGATGATCAGGTACAGTTTCCTTTTTTTTTTTTAAACAATAATTTGTTTCCTTTCTAATTTATAATGTACTTATTTCCTCTTTTATCTAGCTTGTTTAATTTTTTTTTTAAGTTATACATACAGTAAAATTCTGCAACACCAAAATACTGACTAGAAAAGAAAGAAGATTTCAAATTGATGAAGATTGGTTTCTGTTTTAAGAAACTAGAAAAAGAAAACTAACTGAAGTCCAAAGAAGTTAAAAGGAAGGAAATATTAAAAATGAGAATGTATCAATGATATAGGCAACAGAGAACCACAGAGAAAAATTAATAACAACAAAAAACAGGGTTTTTGAGGTTAATGAAATTGATAAACCTCTAGCCTGACTTATTCAGAAAGAGAGACAAGAAGCAAATTATTAGAATCTGGAATGAGCAAAGTTATATCTGTAGATATAGACTAGATATATCTAGTCTAGATATCTGTAGATATCTACTAGACTTTTAAGGAAGAAGTAAAATAAATGAACAAGGTTATATCACTGTAGCTACTTACCAGATATTTAAGGAAGAAGTAATACCACTTCTCCACAAACTCTTCTAGAAATTGAAGAGAAGGGTATTGTTCAAAACTCATTCTATGAGACCAGCATAATTCTGATATCAAAACCAGATACAGACCTGGCTAACAAAGAAAGTTACAGGCTCATTTTCCTCATGAGCATGGATGTAGAAAATCTATATAACATTTTACTATATCAAATCCAACAATGTGTAAAAATGCTAATACACAGTGACCAAATGGTTTATCTGAGGAACATAAGATTGATTAGTCCAAAAACCAATCACTGTAATTCACCATTTTAAGAAACTTTTCAAAAGAGAAAAGAAATCATATGATCATCTCAAAAGAAAACATTTGACACAATCAAACGTGTCTTTCCCGTAAAAGCTTTGAAGAAATTAGGAATTGTGAGGAATTTCCTCAAATTCATAAGACATTTACAGAAAAACTATCACTAATATCACACTTAATGATGAAAGATAAGGAATAAAACAGGAATATCTGCTCTCACTACTGTTGAGCATCATACTGAGGAATCTAGCCAGTACAAGGCAAGAAAAAGAAGTAAAAGGCATATATTTTGGAAAAGAAGAAAGAAAACTTTCACTGGTAACATGATTATATATATAGAAAATCCTATAGACTGCATTAAAAAAGACACTATAATAAGTGATGATAGACAAGTTGTACGATACCAGATCAGTAAACAAAAATGAATTGTATTTCTGTATGCTAGCAACAAATAGACATTCAGATTTTAAAGATACCATTTACAAAAGTATAAAAAAATAGGAAATACTTAGGGATAAATATGATGAAGGATTATGCACTGAAAACTATTATACATGCTGAAAGAAAATAAAGAGAACATAAAGAAGAGATACATTGTGCTAATAGATAAGATTCAGTATTGTCAAAGTGTCAATTTCTGTAAAATTGATTTGTACTTTTAACACAATCCTAATCAGAATCTCGCCAACTTTTTTTGTAGAGGTTAGCTTATTCTAAAATTTCTGTGGAAATGGAAATAACATAGTATAGCCAAAACAACTTTAATAAAGAAGTACAAAATTAGGGGACTTCAACTAGCTGACTTTAAGGTATTATTGTTCAGGCAGTATCTTATTGACATAAATGCAGACAGGTCATTGGAACTTAGTGGAGAGTCAAGAGATTAACTTACACATAGATGATCTTTTGGTGTCTAACAAAGCACAAAGTAAATTCCATTCAGAAAGTATAGTCTTTTTTACAATTTGTACTGTAACGTTTTGATATCTATATACCTCCAAAAATGAACTTCGAACCATACCTCACACCATATACAAAAAGTAATTCAAATGGATCATGGATTTAAATGTAAATTATAAAGCCATAAGTCTCCTAGAAGAAAACATGGAAAAATTCATTGCAACCCTGGAAGGTAGGCCAAGATTTCTTATATATGACACCAAAAGTATGGTATTCTTCATCAAATATTTGTTCTCATCGAAGTCAATAACTTCTACTCTTAGGAAACTCTATTAAACAAATGAAAAGATGAGCCATAGATTAGTTAAAATATTTCAAGTAGCATATCTGATAAAGAATTTCTATGCAGAATATTTAAAGAACTCTAAAATGAATAATTTTTTTAAAAAAGACCCAAATTTTTAAAAAATGGACAAAAAATTTATATAGATGCTTCAATAAAGAACACATATGGATATCAAATAAGTGCATGAAAGAAAATGTTCTCCATCTTTAGGCATTAGGTAGATAAAAATTAAGTCACAGTGAAATGCCATAGCACACTTGCCTGAAGGTTTAACCGAGACTGTGCCGAGTCTAGGCACAGATGCAGAGTACCTAGAACTATCATCATTGCTCCTGGGAGTCCAAAATGGCGCCGTCACTTTGGAGCAGTTGTTGGCAGTCTATAAAAAAAAGTAAAACCTTCACCGCCTATGTGACTCGCTCATTCCATTCCTAGATATTGCAGTCCCAGAGAAGTGAAGGGAGATGTTCACACCAAGACTCCTACACAGTGTTCACACCAACTTTATCTATAATAGCTGACATTAAGGAGACTGCCCAAGTATCCAAAAGCAGGAAGTTGAATAAAAAATTTTGATGTATCGTTACAGTGAAATGCTAACTCAGCAATAAAAAAAAAAAATGAACCTCTGACAGATACAACAACATAGATTAGTCTGAAAATCAATCATCTGGATGAAAGAAACCAGGCAAATAGAGTATTTGCTGTATGCTTCCACTTATGTAAAATTCTGAGAAATGTGAACTTGTAACAGCGCCGGAAAACAGAACAGTATTTGCCTAGGAGCAGGGCATCTGTGAGGAAAAAGGGGAAGTATTACAAGCAGGCAGTAAAACTGGGGAGTCAACAGTTTATCTTTTTTTTCCCTAGCTTTGGTGTTTAATCTTTTTTTTTTTCTCCCTCTGCTTTATTTGTTTTTGACTGTGCTGGGTCTTCATTGCTGTGCTGACTTTTTGCTAGTTGTAGCCAGCGGGGGCTACTCTATAGTTGCAAAACATGGTCTCTAGGGGTGTGGGCTTCAGTAGTTGCAGAACATGGGCTCAATAGTTGCAACTCCCAGGCCCTAGATCAAACAGGCTCAGTAGCTGTGGCGCACAGGCTTAGTGGCTCCAGGACATGTGGGGTCTTCCCAGGTCAGGGATCAAACCTGTGTCTCCTGCACTGGTAGGCGGATTCTTTGCCACTGAGCCGCCAGGGAAGCCCCCAAGTCCATCTTCCTGACTGCACTGATCTCTTCAGGTGTGTACTCAGGTGTCAGAACCTAGCAGATTGCACGTTTTAGATTCGCTTGTGGGTTTAAGACTTCCCTGGTGGCTCAGACGGTAAAAGCGTCTGCCTACAAGGTGGGGGACCCAGGTTTGATCCCTGGGTCGGGAAGATCCCCTGGAGAAGGAAATGCAACCCACTCTAGTGTTCTTGCCTGGAGAATCCCTTGGATGGAGGAGCCTGGTAGGCCACAGTCCATGGGGTCACAAAGAGTTGGATTTAAATTGTGCAGTTTGTTATTTATTAATTATATATCCCAATAAAACTGTTTTATAAAGGGCAGTGCAAGTGCTCATCATTACTTATTCTTTAACCACTAAGTGATGTTTAATGGTCCATTTCAACTGACCTTAAAGCAGTTCTATCCTAGAGTCCTCACTCCTTTCATGTTTAGCCCCTGCCTAAAATGTAAGACTTTTTACCTGATTTTATTTTTGATCATTTATATTAGTGGCCTGATTTTATCTTAATGGCTCTATTGTTACCTAAGATTATCTCTTATCTCCCTTGACTAGCCTGTAATCTTCTTGAGGCTAAATGAATCTCTTGTTCATCTCTGTATCTGCATGTATAGTAACACTCAGTACACACTTACTGATAGTTTTCTTATATTTTTATCTGCATATAATCCTTGTCTTACTGTTTTTTGGTTCCCTCTTGCCCATTCTTTCCTTTACTTCCTATCTTTCCTTTCTGTGGCGCTATGTGAAATTTTCTTATTGTAAATAAACATTCTTTATTTTCAGCTTCTCTCTGAATATACTTTTTTTTAATTTTAGAAACTTCTTATTTTTTAATTCTTTGGTTGTGACGGGTCTCTGTTGCTGCACGCGGGCTCTCTCTAGTTGTGGCGAGCTGGGGTTACCCTTCACTCTGGGGCGCCTGGGCTTCTCCTGCCTTGGTTTCTCTTGTTGCGGAGCTCAGGCTCTGGGTGCATGAGTCTCAGTCGTCGCAGGTTGCAGGTGCAGTCGGTGCAGCCCTCGAGTTCTAGAGCTTGCACTCAGTAGTTCCAAGGCAGGTGGAATCTTCCCGGACCAGGGACGCAGCCCAGGTCCCCTGCATTGGCAGGCAGGCTCTCATCCACTGTGCCACTAGGGAAGTCCAGAATATCCTTTTTGCTGTAACAAAAACTTGTCTCTCCACTGAGGACCCTGTTTCCCTTATTTTCCAAGTATGAGGTGGGGGTGCATCTCACACTCTAATCCTAGACACTTCCTGACTCCCCGGATGTTTATTCACTGGGCACATACACTTTGACATTATCACACAATTATGTTGAGTTTTCAAGATATTAGCAATAAGGAAAAGATACATCTCAAAAATGCAAGATAAAACTGCCACATAGATTTTTTTATGCTATTGTTTTTTATCTTTTAGGATTTTGAACTGTGGGATGATGTAGGATTAAACATTCCAAAACCTCCAGATTTACTGCAGCTCTACCGAGATTTTGGAAATCATCAAGTAACTGGGAAAGACCTTGTGGACGTGGCCAGCGGTGTAGAAGAAGATGAATTAGAGGCTCTGACACCAGTTTTAGGCAGCCTTCCTTCAACCCTTCAAACTCCTCAGACTGTAGAGGTGAGACCTATTAATAATCAAGTCCACAAAAAGTGTTTAAGCCATGTCAAAGCAGACTATGAGATCTTGAGTTTCTGTTTTTTTCTCCCATTTTGATTTTAGAACTCCTTGCTAGTACAGAAATTAGAAGATAAAATTAGTTTATTAAATAGTGAGAAATGGTCTTTGATGGAACAAATCAGAAGACTTGAAAGGTTAGTACTTAATCATCATTTCTATAAAACCTCTTAAAATTATTTTAAAAATTGACAGATTATATAAGCATATAAGATAATATTTCAGTTGTAAGCTATAATTTTTCATATCCTAATACTTCTGGGGAAAAAAAAATCTTATAATTGCTTATATACTTAATGTGTTCTTTTCCCCAAAAAAGTTGTTAATCACTGTAATAATCGTTAAAATCATATATGTCTTAGAACCAAGGAGTAAGATATTTTTTACCTTCTTCAGGTTGTATCAGTAGTAATAAAGTAGCTTCTTCATGTGAGTGTCATACATATTTTCCATTCATTATTTCATTTAATTCTTATACTCCTGATGTGGGTTAGATGGAATTTTCCACATTTCACACACGAAGAAGGCTAAGTGATAATCCAAAGCATAGTTTATAAAACCATTTTTATGTTTTGTAAGAGTTTGTGGCTACATTTCTATATGAAGCATCAATATATATGGTACAGAAAAGATTCATTAGTTGCCAAACCACTTTCTATTAATATATTATACTTTTAAAGCATTAAACCCAGTATGAGGTTTATGCTATTGCCAAAGTCTTAAAAAATACAATTCTTCACTAATAATTTCTCTTTCTTTTACAGTGAAATGGACTTCCTCAAAAATGAACACTTTGCCAGCCCTGTAGTTTGTGACTCTGTTCAGCCTTCTTTGGATCAGTCTCCCCACAAAGACTCTGAAGACAGTGGAAAGAATTCAGTTATAGATAGTTTGGACAAGGGAGAAAACAAGGATGTCCATCTTTCAAAATCAGATGAAGTTGATTCCACTGTTCCTAAAGAGAATTTCCCACATTCTTTCCCCAGGAGAGAAAGAGAAGGAATACCATCTTCTTCTCCATCAAGTAAAAACACAGTTCATTTTGATAAACCCAATAGGTTAGTATGTGTCCTGTGTTTTGAAATGCATCTTTCAGCTATTCAGTACATTGTCAAACTAGAAGAGTTTCAGTTCTTATTTTGCAGATTAGATACATGAATTTTTATGTCTGACATGAACTTAACACATAGCAGAGTCCACATCACTGCAAAAAATCACAAGTAATTACTAAGTTGAATTGTGTTAAAGAGGAATGGACCATAAATGAACTAGGTCCTATTTTAGCTAAGTACTGAAACCCATAAATAATATGTATGTTCTGTGTGCTATATTTTACCCAGTGTTTTTTACCTTTTCTGTGTTCTACAGTCATTATCAGATTCAGTAGAAGTTTTGATATTAAATAGTTGCTTTTACTAAAAAGGCGATTAGTTCTTGATCTTAGTCCTTTTTCCTATATCTGCTTCCATTAGTAATGTTGTGTCATTAATATTATCTTAACTCATTTAATTTTTATTGAATAGCAATGATTGAACTTAGATGACTAAAGCAGGGTCCCTTGCCCATCATGATTATGTTTTCTAGTAGAGGAGACAAAAAGTATTTACAATATAATGTGAAAAAAGAATGTTCTCTAAGAGAGGAATATTTATTAAGATCTTTTTATATATCAGGCACAGTTCTAAATGCTTTACATATGCTAGCTTAGTTAATCCTCACACATACCTCGTGATGTATTCTGAGCCAGTCATACTTCCTCCTCCTATTAAATGGAGGAGTATTAGAGCAAGTGTTGGGATGTAATAGGAAAGCATGACTAATTTGTTTTAGACTTAAAGGTACTCATTATTAGTGAGAAGTATTTGATTTTTTTTTTCCAAAGCAAATTTTTTTACTCATAGGCCACAACTTTGTGTGTGGTTGTGTGTGTATGTATGTGTAGGTTTTATGAGGGGGGTCACAGGATTGAAATAGACATGGCCCAGTCCTCAAAGTGCATTTAATCTAATATGGTTAAGAGACAGTCATAAAAATAATGCAGTGGCGTTCGTAGTAGTTCTTAATGTTTAGTAGTTCCATATATCTCCTTTATAGTCCAAAGCCACTCTCAGGAGAAAGATGATTGTTAAATTTATCCAACTAACCTTTTTAACTCTTAACTGTATGTCAGGCAATGTTAATGAAGAGTATGAAGTTTAAAAGAAGAGTGAAAGTGTTAGTTGCTCAGTCATGTCTGACTCTTTGGGACCCCATGCACTATAGCCTGCCAATCTTCTCGAGGTCCCTGGAATTCTCCAGGCAAGAATACTGGAGTGGGTAGCCATTCCCTTCTTCGGGGGATCTTCCCAACCCAGGAATCCAGGCTGGGTCTCCTGCATTGCAGGCAGATTCTTTACCACCTGAGCCACTCGGGAAGCCCAAATGAAGAGTATAGTGACGGTAACCAAACGCGTGGTCCCCTTCGGCTACAAATGTTACATATGAGAGAGACTGTCAGGCAATTATAACATTGTGAAAGGTGGTAATATAAGGGAAGTTCAGCTTGCTTGGGGAACACACAATCAAGGTACCTAACCTAGTCATCAGAGCAGGAAAGGTTTCAGGGAAGAAGTATTTTCTATCTTTATACCTGATGAGTAAGTAGCAGTGAACCAGGCAAAGAGATAAGAGGAAGTGTGCCCCCTAAGAGGGACTAACAGGAGCAGGAAGAACACTGCACTTGGGGAGCTAAGAAGGATTTATGAAGATTGAAGCAAAGCATGCAAATGAGAAGAAAACAGGAGGGGAAGTTGGAGAATTAACCTGAGACTAAGTCATATGAGCTGTGTTAACTCATTTTAGAGACTTGGAACATGATGGTATCTAAGTTTTAAAAGAAAGTAAAGAAAACCACATTCAGGTATGACCTAAATCAAATCCCTTACGATTCTACAGTGGAAGTGACAAATAGGTTTAAGGGACTAGATCTGATAGACAGAGTACCTGATGAACTATGGACGGAGGTTCGTGACATTGTACAGGAGACAGGGAGCAAGACCATCCCCAAGAAAAAGAAATGCAAAAAGCCAAAATGGTTATCTGAGCAGACCTTACAAACAGCTATGAAAAGAAGAGATGTGAAAGGCAAAGGAGAAAAGGAAAGATACACCGATGTGAATGCAGAGTTCCAAAGAATAGCAAAGAGAGATAAAAAAGCCTTCCTCAGTGATCACTGCAAAGAAATAGAGGAAAACAATAGAATGGGAAAGACTAGAGATCTCTTCAAGAAAATTAGAGATACCAAGTGAAATTTTCATGCAAAGATGGGCTCAGTAAAGGACAGAAATGATAGGGACCTAACAGAAGCAGAAGATATTAAGAAGAGGTGGCAAGAATACACAGAAGAACTGTAGAAAAAACATCTTCACCACCCAGATAATCACGATGGTGTGATCACTCACCTAGAGCCAGACATCCTGGAATGTGAAGTCAAGTGGGCCTTAGGAAGCATCACTANTAACCTCAGATATGCAGATGACACCACCCTTATGGCAGAAAGTGAAGAAGAACTAAAGGGCCTCTTGATGAAAGTAAAAGAGGAGAGTGAAAAAGTTGGCTTATAGCTCAACATTCAGAAAACTAAGATCATGGTATCTGGTCCCATCACTTCATGGCAAATAGATGGGGAAACAGTGGAATCAGTGACAGAATTTATTTTGGGGGGCTCCAAAATCACTGCAGATGGTGACTGGAGCCATGAAATTAAAAGACGCTTACTCCTTGGAAGGAAAGTTATGACTAACCTAGACAGCATATTAAAAAGCAGAGACATTACTTTGCCAACAAAGGTCCATCTAGTCAAGGCTATGGTTTTTCCAGTAGTCATGTATGGATGTGAGAGTTGGACTATAAAGAAAGCTGAGCACCAAAGAATTGATGCTTTTGAACTGTGGTGTTGGAGAAGAGTCTTGAGAGTCCCTTGGACTGCAAGGAGATCTGATCAGTCCTGAGTGTTCATTGGAAGGACTGATGTTGAAGCTGAAATGCCAGTACTTTGGCCACCTGATGCAAAGAACTGACTCATTGGAGAAGACCCTGATGCTGGGAAAGTTTGAAGGTGGGAGGAAAAGGGGATGACAGAGGATGAGCTGGTTGGATGGCATCACCGACTAGATGGACATGAGTTTGAGTAAACTGGGGAGTTGGTGATGGACAGGGAGGCCTGATGCACTGCAGTCCACGGGGTTGCAAAGAGTTGGATACGACTGAGTGACTGAACTGAAGTTTTAGAAAGAGTCCTCTAGAATAGTGGTAATTAGAAGGTAGTAAGAATGGAGACTCATGGGATATCTGTTGGAAGAGTCCAAGAAAGAAATGGTGGAATTTCCTGTACTGGAAAGATGTAGATAGATTTATAAGATAATTGGAAGGTAAAAATTGGTTGGATTAGGAGGTTAAAACTAAGGGAAGGATAAAGACTTTCTGGCTTGGGCAGTTAGATGCATTGTAGCTCCTTCCACTGTGAGAATAGGGGAGGTGGGGTACATAATGAGCAAACAGACTTCAGTTTTGGCACACCAAATCCAAAATCAGATGCTACTGGGGCCCGCTTTGTGGTGTATACTAAATAACCTCTGTTATATAACCTTAGATGTTACCCCTTTTCTTCATAGATTGAGCACATGAAGTACAAATCATAGTTACAATATTATGAATACTATGACATAGAGACCAGTGTTATTTTACAAATATAAATGTTTTAACTTTCTTTGTTAAACATAAATGGCTAATATTTTCAATTACAAAAAATCCTTCATTTAAAACATATGTGAATGTTGAATGAGCCTCTCCTTCATTTATTTTAATTTTTAATTCTTTTATGTGGGTTTCTAACATTAAGGGTTATCATTATCATGATATAGATCTGCAGAACTTCTCAGTAACATACCAGGTTAGCCTTCACAGCCACTCTTTACCTTTCTGGGACCATAGAGAATTAGGGAAGAAGAAAAAAATCCTCATTTCAGGTTTTGCAAACACTTTCTATAGTCATTGACCTTCCATACAACTTCAGGTTTAATCCATTAACATTTTTAAGACATTCATTCACATAATATCAAGCTCTTTTAAGATCAGCAGCTATTGCTATTCCTTTTTCCCTGTATGATTCTCCAGTGAAGTGATCTTAAATCTTTTGTGGCTGAGAAATTCAAACATTTGTGGGGTAGGATTCATGCGATGATGGGAATTATAACCTGCAACTTCCTTTCTCCTTAAACACAAGTTTAACTATGTGGTATTGTCCCATTTTTATTCAATGTTTTCTTCTAGGAAGTTGTCTCCTGCTTTCCATCAAGCACTACTCTCTTTCTGTCGAATGTCAGCAGATAGTCGTTTAGGATCAGAGGTAAGTTACACCAGATTCTTGCAACTTTCTTAAAACATTCCGTTTTTCTTCTTAGCATTTTACCCAAAAAATAATTGTAATACAACTCTGTTTCAAGTACAAATCTATTATTTAAATTAACAAACACTCTAAGAAATAATTCCAAAGTTTTCAGCTTTTAAGGAAAGTAGTTGATTATTTTTATCTTTGGATTAAAGGTCTATTTTGTATGAAAGTGACTCTTTACAGTCTAGTTTTAATTTTTTATGTCTACCAACCTACTATTATATGCCTCTCTATGGTGTAATTTAGAAAACCAAGTCAGGTGTATATATTATTTGTAACTTACGTTATTTTTGGATTACTCCATTTTTAATTTCTCTAGGATTGATTGTCTTTGATTGCAGAGTTTATTGGATCTCAGATTTCTTTTCATCAAGTCCTTTGTAACGGTTGTTGCAGGCTTATCTTAAAAGGGTGTTTTATTTTCTCCTTTCTTGATACTTCTCCCTTTCTATTAATACCTTCTTTGTGGTTGATTCCACTTCACCTCTTCTGGGCTTCTGTCCCACAGTGTCGTTAAGAATCTGAAAGAGCTAGAGAGTGGTTTGGATGCAGTCTGGCAGTTCTCATTGTAAGACTGGGCCAGCCCCCTGGACTTCCCCTTGCATGCGTTTTCATTGTGCAAGCTACTCTCACCTTAGCCGAAGATCGTGACTTTGTGGGTACCTTTCCCCCCAAACCAAAGATTAAAAACCACTGAAGCTGCCCCAGTCCTGTGTTACCGCTCTTTGTTCCCAGAACTGAAGCCTAGTAAGCCTCCCTGTCTGCTCCCTTGCTTCTTACTAGTGTTTTAAATCCATTTCTGGTCTATAAAAATGTTTGTCCTGTTTGGAATCCCAGGTGGTGGTTGTTTTTGTTTTCCTCCTCATCATAAATTGTCCTTTTGAATATGTGTTTGAAACAGAAGTGACAGGGTCCAAATCATAGCCTCGAAGTCCCACCACGCACAGGAGGCCTCCAGTGCCGTCTTTGATTAACCCTGCGGTCTTCTAGGTGTCTCGGATTGCAGACAGCGAGACGAGCGTCATGCTGATGCTGGGGCGCTGCCTGCCGCACATCGTCCCTAACGTGCTGTTGGCCAAGAGAGAGGTGAGGCCCAGAGAAGCACTGTCATCCCCCAGATCATCACGTTGTCCATTTTTCGTCATTTTGAAGTTTAGTGTTATATTTTTATTTTGTTAAAGTCTACTACTTGCAATCATATTCTTACTTTTGTGCATGCATCTCTGCTCCTAGAGAATGGTTTTACACCTCTGTCAGGTGAGTTCAGTAAAACTGCATGGTATTCATGTTTTCCAATTTTGCTTAAAGCATCATTAGCTTCTGCAACACTAACTATTACTGTAGGTCCATTTATGTGCCATGAACACTGTCCGTTCTCTACATTACCAGCTAACTAATTTATTTGATCTCTCTCTTGATATGATATGCGTGACTTGCCTACAGAAATAGACAGTCGTGGGATTGAACATTAATAGGCACTAATAATATAACTCTTTTCTTAAATGTACTTGTAGTTACCTCTTATTAATGTTAGTTTATTTGTTTGGCAGTAGTTAGACTTGTCTTAGAATAGGATAGCTATAATATTGTCTGCAATAACTTTTGAGACTATCTTTTTGTTTTTCTTGTAGCTAACCTGTTATTGACAGATGCTTTAAATGTCTAAAATAGAGTAGCAGATTTATTTTGGTACACATTGCCTATGTTATAAGCCATAAATACTATAGAAAGTATTCTTTAGAGTTATATTTCACCATTAAAAGATTAAGGAAAAATTATTTGTAATCTCATTTAAATAGTGAATGATTTATTTACAAACAAGTTTATTTATTTGAATTATTCAATTTATGAAATCAATTTGCAATTCACAAATTTTTTAAATAGGTTAAGAATATTATCAAATGTGTCCTACAAGTTTTCTTTTGTTATCCTCTTAATCTTTACCACTGGTTTTAATCATAATTCATGGGACCTACAGTATGATAGGTACACAATGCATTGGCAATACTCATATAAGAGCTTATCCTTAATTATCTGTTTAGCACACGAAATTTGTACTGATCCTCAAGAAGACGTATATGTAGAGCTTCAATAATTTTTATACCTATAGGTATTTTTAATTTAAAAATGATAAACGTGACTGTTTTCTTACTTATGGTTTTATTTTACCTAACATTTAAGAATAGTTGTAAGATATTAAGAAGTATGAAAATTTTCTATGTCTTGAAGGATCAGTGTCCAATTTCAGATTGTTTTGCAGTTCTGCCTGGCAGAATGGTGTTTGAGCTTTTTTCCTTTTTCAGCTTGTAACATAATCTGTGCAATGCATTAATGTTTGCATCCCTTTTACTATGTTTCCTTAAGATAATCTTTAAAATAGCATAGAAACCTAATTGTTATGAGATGCAGTTTAAGCTTTTTTTAAATTTTTATTTTCCCTTTTTTAATCATAAAAAACTCTACCACTAAAATCTGATTGTACTGCATGAAGTTTTTATAAATTTGCATCATCAGTAATCAGATATATTATATATATAAATATATATGTAAGCATATATTTATATATACATGTATATTTTATTTGTGGTATGATGTTTACTTTTCTGGCTGATTTAAGTTTTTTCTATTTAAAAATATTTTTATACTTATAATTTCATGAAGAATTGATCACTTATCTTTGTTTACTTAATCATTTGTGTCATATTTTGTTTTACCAGAAAATTTACCATTTTTAATATACCAGAGTTGTATTCCCTCAAAATTAAATTGGTAAATAATGAGGTTTATCTTGCCTTTCTTTGAAACTAATCCCAGGGCATAGAAGCACAAAACTTTTATTTGATTTTTTCCTTTGATATTGGATTACTTGTATTTAATATTTTACCCTAGTTCCATAAATTTATATTTTTTTAAAAGGTCTTATAATTTAAGGATTAACATTTTTGTTTTTTCTTATTTCTCAAGTTTTTTGTGTTTTTTTATCAGTATAAGCCTTTTTATTGGTATGTGAATACAATTACCATGTCCATTTGTATGATTGATCATAGCAATATCCTAGATAATTTAAAAGCATTAAAAACAGAGTATGAGGTTTGATTAAATAATGTATAGTCATGGTTTAACATCTTTTGAATATGAAAAGATGTACAATAAGAGCTTTTCTTCCCCTGTCCCTTAGCTATCATCTCACATGCAGTAAATTTTAGTAAATCCTTTGCCCATTTTTTAAGTGGATTGTTTGTCTTTGAATTGTAAGAGTTCTTACAATTCTGGATATTAAACTCTGACCTCATATATGATTTGCAAGTATTTTCTTCCATCCTGTAGTTGGATGTTGTCCTTAAATGGACAGATGTTTTTTATTTCTGTGAAATCTGATTTCTCTATTTTTTTCTTTTGTTGCTTATGTTTTTGGTATCCATCTAAGAATCCATTGCCAAAGCTAAAGTCAGAAAGATTTACCCCTGTGTTTTCTTCTAGTAGTTCTATACCTTTAGCTCTTATATTTAGGTGATTAATCCATGTTTTTGTTTTGTTTTTTGTTAATATATGGAGTGAGGCAGGAGTTCAGAACTGTATTCTTTTCATGTAGTTACCCAAGCGTCCCAGCACCATTTGTTGAAGACACAATTGTTTCTTTATTGAATGGTCATGGCACCTTTGTCAAAAATCAGTTTGATGTAGATGTTTGGATTCATTTCTATACTTTCAATTCTGTACCATGGGTCTTTATGTTTATCTTTATGCCTGTTCTACTCTATTTTGATTACTGTAGCTTTACAGTAAGTTTTCAGATTAGGAAGTATGAGTCTTCCAGATTTGTTCTCTTTTTCAGTATCATTTAGCCATTTAGGGCCCCTTTTGTTTCCACGTAATGGGATGCTCAGTTTTGGTCTCTGCCATAAAAGTCATTTGAATTTTGATAGGAATTGCACTGAATCTGTGGATCACTTTGAGGAATATTGACATTCAAACAGCATTAACTCTTGTATTTTATGAACAGGAAATTCTTTATAGTATTTGCACACAGAATGTGTTAAGAATTGTTCCTCCTTTTCTGTTCTTTCAAAGAGTTGAGTAGGATCAGTATTAATAATTCTTTAAATGTGTTTTAGAATTCACAAGCAAAGTCATCTGATCCTAGAGGTTTTTTAATTATTGATTCAATCTATTTGCCTGTTATAGGTCTGTTTTTATTTCCTGTTTCTTCTTGTGTCAGTTTTGGTCATTTATGTGATTCTAGGAATAAGTTCATTTATTATCTAACTTGTTGGTGGACCATTGTTTATGGTATTCATTTATAATCCTTTTAATTTTTTTAAGTTTGTTACTAATGTCCTCTCCTTTATTTCTGATTCTAGTTATTTGCATCTTCTTTATTTTTATCTTAGTCAGTGAAGGTAAAAGATTGTCAATTGCATTGATCCTTTCAAAGAGCCAACTTCTGATGTTGTTGATTCTGTTTTTTTGGGTTTTTTTGGGTCCTATAGTTCACTTACCTTTGCTGTAATCTTTATTATTTTCTTCTTTCTGCTGGCCTTTAGTTTAGTTTCCTTTTTGTGACAAGGTTGTTGAATTGGAATCTCGTTTTTTTTAATGTAGGTGATAATGGCTATAAATTTCCCTCTGTGTTCTGCTTATGCTGCATCTCACATGTTTTGGTATGTTCTGTTTTTCATTTATCTCAAAGTATTTTAATTTCCTGAGTGACTCCTTTGACCCATTGGCTGTTTTAGAGTGTGTTGTATAAGATGTGTATCATTAAAGCTAGAAAAAAAAAAAGATACAGGAGAGCACCAATTCCCTAAAAGCCTTAATAACTAGCTAGTACCTCTAAAGGCTTGTTCATCTTCTAAGAAACCAAACTTTACTCCTTTACATTACCATTTGTGGCTGCTCTGTGGTAAATTTTTAACTCAAGAGTAATAATATAATTTATAATTGTATGAGTGTAATGTAGTAGTACAAGTACAGTAAAGTAAATAGTAAGTTGCGTAAGCTTGGTTCACCTTCTTTATCCATGTTATGTTTGTGTGTATCTTGTAATTTTCAGAGCAAATCACATGCTGTTTAGCAGTACCAGAGTTTAAAAGTCACTTAAGTATTTCAGTTAGGCTTCCTAAAGGCTGAGACCTGGGAGTTATAGATATTAATAATTCTAAAAATAGGTATTTTAGCAGCCCTTGAAGTATAAAACTTTTCCAGAGGTGAGTAATCTTGTCTTTTCCTTATATAAGTCTTTGTAATGTTTTTTTCCTTTATATATACTACCAACGTCATGACAAATTTCAACTGAAAATCCAAATCAAAGGGTGTATACTTAGCAGTATTTGAACTTAAATTGTAATTCACTATTGCTTAATTCCTAGGCAAAAGACTAGATGAAAAAAATTTAGGAACAGCCATCTAAAATTTTTTCAAAGCTTGGGTTATAGGAAATAATTTCAGTGGAATAGTGAAGACAAGTGGTGACCTATAATTAATTGGACTGATATCACCTTTCTAGAATTGTAGAATTTTGCTTCCTGACCTGAAGTACTCAAACATTTCCTCACTGGCATCTGATCTAAGTGCAGTATTTCCTTTTGTATTTTAGATTCCTTTCAGATCTTAGAGTCATTATCATATCAACATTCTCATACTTTTAAAAATTTTAAATTGTGCCTGATCTCATTTCCTAGTTCATATCTTTTCTCGTTAACATCTGATCACTCACATTGTTTTAGATCCTGTTTAGGTACTATTTTTCTTCTGTTTTTGTAGTCTGAACACATACTAATCTTTAAAGACTAAGAAAGTCAAGTAAAAGTACTCATTAAATCAAATGTAATCATCTCTGAAGACATTTACTACCTTAAAAATGATTTCTTTATTATCATTAGAATTTATTTTGTTTTACTTATAGAACTGAAAGAAAAATACTGGAAGCCTTTCCTGTTTAATTCTGTACAAAATTTCATAGGAGGGGTGGGAGGTCCTTCATATGGAGAGAACTAGTGTTGTTAAAATGGCAGAAACTCATTTACTTGAGTAAAGTGCAGATTACTAAGTCTTTAGATTAACGAATTCTAAAGGCCTTAGAAATATCTTTCCTAGTGTCCATGGTAAGAAACTGCTGGAATACCTTCTGTAATTGGATTACTACACTGATTTCCTCTCTAATGATCAGTAGGAGATCAGTTTTATATTTCACTTCAGTACACGTTAACTGATAAAGCATGTTTGAAAATATTTAAAATTTCTGCTGCCTGAAATATGGACTCAGTAATGTTTTTATGTGGGGTAGGCAAGGGATGGATTCCTTTTGGATATCATGTTTATCAGAGCTTTATTATCTTGCCATGGTTATTATTCAAAGACATTTTTAAAACCACTGTCACATTGTCTTTTGAAAATCTAGATGCCAGTTTTTAAATATTTTATTTAGAATTATAAGGAAACTATTTTAAACACTAGATTTCTTCAGTTGGAGATGATGATACCAATGGGAGAATATTGATTCAAATCTGTACATTTATGCGTACCACTGACCCTTCCTTGAACAGCACACAGATTATGTGTGCTGACCGAGGCACAGTTCAGTATCCAAGTATAAGTTTACATTCAGCCAACCACAGATCCATGTAGTAATGTAGTACATGTTTATGGGGTAAAATCTGCATGTAAGTGGGCTTCCCTGGTAGCTCAGCTGGTAAAGAATCCACCTGCAATGAAGGAGACCCTGGTTCAATTCCTGGGTCGGGAAGATCCCCTGAAGAAGGGATGGGCTATGCACTCTAGTATTCTTGGGCTTTCCTGGCGGCTTAGACAGTAAAGCATCCACCTGCAATGCAGGAGACCTGGGTTTGATCCCTGGGTTGGGAAGATCTCTAGGAGGAGAGCATGGCAACCCACTCCAGTATTCTTGCCTGGAGAATCCCCATGGACAAGGGAGCCTGGCAGGCTATAGTCTATGGGGTTGCAAAGAGTCAGACACGACTGAGGGACTAACCACACACACTTCATATAAGTGGACCCACAGCACAGTTCAAACCTGTGTTGTTCAAGGGTCAACTGTAATGTGAAAATCCTAAATAGAGTCTTGTGGATAGACTTGTACGTCAGAGGCTTGAAAACGGTGAATTTACAAGAAGTAAGATGGGCAGCACAGCGGATAACATATTTACAGAGTTCATTATTTGAAGAGTGGTATAACTAGAAGTTGTGATTAAATGAATGATAAAGGAAGAGGAAATTAGGATATTTGAAGTTGGTCATAACTTAGCAATTAAAGTCCTGATGGCTCTGTCACAAACAGGCTACAGCTTCCACTTTTTCCTACCATCACCTTCTGGACGGACCTCTTCTCAGCTTAGCGATGATCAGGAAGAGGAAGCCATCTGGCACACTTCATAACTGCCACAGCCATCAAGGTGCCAGGATGTCCCCAGTTCTCCTTGGCGTAGAGTATCGACCAAAGTGTATTGGCGCTGACTTCCCACATTTGCTATTTTAGCCAGCAAGAAATAATAACAGATGGCAGTGTAAATTACTACTAACTGTGATTGAGAAAAGTGAAAGAACATTTCTCTAAAGCCCTAAGTTCACAGAATTTTAGACTTCAAGGAGACAAGGACTGACTTTTTTTTCCTTTCCTGTGTGTCCGTTTGGATTGGCTGGTAATGGCTGCTGTGTTGAGAAGGGTTTTGAGGCCAGCTTTGATCTCAGAAAGGAAAATTAACAATCTTATTAGCAATAGATAAGAAAATGACATAATATATGTATTTTTTATTTATGTACTCAGCTTAATTCCTGTATGTTTCAATTGAGGAAACAAAAACTCAAGAGAAGTTCACAGTTTTCACTGGGTTCTTTGGTACTTAGTAGTTTTGAGATAGGAGCACTTCGAACTCCGAGTTTAGCGTTCTTGGTTTGGCACATCTGTAGCCACATTCCAGTTAAAAGATTCATTACAGTAGTATATCACCTAAAATTCCTCTTTGATTAAGAGTCGCTAAGCCTCGTGGTTTAAAAAAAAGAAACAAGGAAAAGAAAATGTAAGACACAAAAAGTAAACTGTAACACAGTTCTTTTGGTATACCTGTTTTTGAGATAAAGAAGCTAACTATTCTTCTGTATTTTAAACAGAGGGTGTATGCATGTACTTGCAGTTAGAGCAGGTATCTTACCTACACTTCATGACTTTGTTTCTTTAAAGAGTAATGCAGTAGGAAGAGAGTAGAGGGAGATAGTTAAGAGTGAATGTTTGGAGATGATTGGGAAGCAGGAAGAAGGGTTAGGGGAAAGCAAGAAAACCCAGGGGAGAGAAAGATCGGCCGTGAGGGAAAAGTACAAGTTAAATATTTAGGACCTTTTTGATTTTTCAGGCATTAAAATATCTTCTCTTTTTGTTAGTACTTTCTAGAATCACTACCTTTTCATCCTTAAACTTTTACTCTCAGTGGAATGTGCTTATGTGTCATCCCAGTCCTCTCACTAGTATCACTGGCCCTTAGCAATCTCAGTGGAGTTCTCTAAGGATCCTTGGTATTAATGGTCCTCACCCATCAAGCCTCAGAGTAAGCATCTTTGGAAAACATCAGAATACAAGGACCCGTACATATACTGTTCCATTCCCAGTGCAAAATTATTTTCCCCACTTTTCAGTTATTCACTAATCTAAAACCTACAGAGGTACCTAAATAGAAAGATGGCAGAATAAGTGTTTTAAATTTGTTTTTGCTTCTCAGATTTGTTTTTCCTCTTCTTATCTACATCTTTTTGCTTTGAATTTAGGTTTATATGGAGTAATTAAAATTTAACATAATATGTAAGACATTAGAAGTAATGGAAAGCACTTCTAGTCATGCCTTAGTTTCAATCTCAACTTCTCTAAAAGCATATCATCTGTTTCTAAGGGAGCATCTTCAGAATAATATAGACTTTTCTTTAAAGTGTCATGCATTAGTACATAGTGATTGATTCCTATTTTAAATCTGCTAGCACTTTTTGGTGGGTAGGGAGGTAGATGGGAAAAATAAATGGGCATAATCATTCTACCCTTTTTATTATATCATAGTGATTTAGGGATTTCTTTAAAATATCTGCAAAATGACTTAAAGGATTTCTCTCCAAAAGTACTTTATCACTTTTGAACTTTTATTTCATTAGATTTTCAAATCTACTTCAAAAGTGAAAAACATTGATATCTTTTAAATGTATTTTAGAATTTTGCCTCAGTTTAATTAAAATGTGAAAAAAAATTTAATTTTCAAATACTTTGTAAAAGAGAAATAAACTCTTGTCTGTTTCCTTGAAAATACTAAATTTACCTCTGTATGTTGAAAGTGGAACAAAATATTTAAAATTTTCATTTCAATATAGAATATTTCTGCAAATGCTTTTATGGAGAGCATTCAACACCTGTGAAGATGGTCTTTTTAATTAGGCACTAGGTTAGATGCTAAGGGTATAAAATTATTATTTCTGATCCTACTGTGCTTATGGAAGTATGAAGAGTTATCTTTATTTTCTGTTTTTCATTTTAGGTTTTAAAATATAGTTAACTTCTGCAAATTTTTATTTAAAAGAACTTTCAAAATTTAAACTACTATATCAGCTTATAGTACGATAAAATGTTACTTAGTGTAAAAGGTAATAGACCCTTGGGAAGTATTGGATGAGAAAACAAGGTTAGTTCAATCATAAGTTACTTTATTGCATTGTGATATGCACCTTCTGCACAATCACTCCATAACTATGTTTATGTTTTTCTCTTGAATTATCAGCCTTACAAAGTAAAAATATGCTCCTCTCTATGTTGAGGTTTATTTCATTTAAAACTTCCATGTATGAATACTTTGGGGGGGAAAGAATATTCTGCAATGCATTTTTACTTTGACTTTTTCCACCTTCCTGTTTCTTTAGGAGTTGATCCCCCTCATATTGTGTACAGCCTGCCTGCATCCTGAGCCTAAGGAGAGAGACCAGCTTCTCCACATACTTTTCAATTTGATCAAGAGGCCAGATGATGAGCAGAGGTGAATATGACTACTTCTTTGGGAAATAAATATAATGTTGACTTGCTCATTTTATTAATTCGGCATCATGATTACCTTTTTAATCTCAATGCCATCTTTTCTTTCTAAGGTCTCTTTTAATAAAGGAAACACTGACCTTGTTCACAGTGCCCTACAGTGTTTTCCTTCTTGTCATTCCAGCTGCTAACGTTGAACTTCTGCACTTTTGTGTTAGTTATCTTTGGGTTGCTAATTATTCCATTAAGTCTTTGCTTTTACCTTTCACATCCGATTTCCAAGAACTCCTAAATATTTTTCTTTTCCCTCTACAGATGAACTAGATACAGCATGGCATCTTAATAGTTATGCTTTACCAGAAATAAAATATTTAACATAGGAATGTCTGCATCACCAAGCTGTCTGTAAAGCAGTTTCTGTATGGCTGGAGGGATATAGTGTTTTGCTTAGTCCTGATTCAAACGCCCTCAACCAAGGATGCCTGAGTGGAGAAATGAGTTGTACTTGGGAATGGTGAGGGGCATGAGAGTGGTGGGGCCAGGAGGACAAGACACATACCCAAGAGACTTCTGCAAGGAAGGGGAGTGGGTTTTTTGCTCAGGCAATCGTGATAGATTTCTCCCTAGAAAGTAGACTTTTAAATACTAGGAGAAGCTGTGCAAGTGTGAACGTGAACAGAGTATCCTAGTGGAGGATAAGCAGATTAAGCACCAGTTGGACAAGACTGAGCTGTTGAAATGTTGCTGCATTGTAATTTTCTATCTTAATAAGCAGATAATTTTTGCTTATACATTCACAAAACAATAGAATTGTACATTAAGATTAGGTAACTTGATATAATTTTAGTTCTTGTTTTACTGTTACAGATTTTACCTCTTCTGAGAATGTTGGAAAATCACAAAGTGAACCATAAGACAAATCAAGCCCAAAATTTAAAACACAAGGAATCTCTCCACCACGAGAATAAAAAGTCATGTAGACTTTTAAACTCTGTGAACATGTGTCTCTTTCCTACCCTTATTAAAATATACCTGAGCAAGCAGAGAGACATATTTTTTTCAAGATCCAGTCAAGATTAATCTACATGCTAGCTGAATAGAAGTAAGGGAAATTCAATCAGGTTCCATCCTTTGCAAACTGAAAATTTTCTGAGGACAATTTGATGGTTCTATATAGGAAAATTAAATATTTTATCTTCTCCTTGAAAATACTATTTACTATCTTGGAAAATTAATAATTAAATACTACTTATTACATTGTCATTTTTAGAATGCAAGGCAAAAATATCTCAATTTACATAGCCTGTTTTTACAGACTCTTCATGTAAAGCTAACAGCTGCCACCCGGTGGCCAAAAGTACTGATAGGTACAGGCTGACTTCAGGTCAAGATACATCAGGATTTAAACACAAATGTTCGCAGTTCATCTTCCACTTTTCAGAAATAAAGTTATTTAAATAAGCTAAACTGTTAGCTATATTTGATGTGAATAAAAAATAAAGCAAAATTTTTAAATTAGCATAAGTTTGACATATAATCAGTTATTACTTTACTTACTGAATCACAAGCTTCCTTGTGTGACTGTCCAGTTTTATGCTCAGCTATATTGGGTTTTTGGTAATTCCTTGCTAGCAGCCGTAACTAACACCGTATTTCCACCTATTGTGTCAGTTCTGTCGCTCAGTTGTGTCTTCCTGTTTGCGACCCCATGGACTGCAGCACGCCAGGCCTCCCTGTCCATCACCAACTCCCAGAGTTTACCCAAACTCACGTCCATCGAGTCGGTGATGCCATCCAACCATCTCATCCTCTGTCATCCCCTTCTCCTCCCGCCTTCAATCTTTCCCAGCATCAGGGTCTTTTCCAGTGAGTCAGTTCTTTCCATCAGGTGGCCAGAGTATTGGAACTATAGCCCATGAAATTTCTTCAGGCCAGAATACTGGAATGGGTAGCCTTTCTCTTCTCCAGGGGATCTTCCCAACCCAAGGATCGAACCCAGGTCTGCTGCATTGCAGGAGGATTCTTTACCAGCTGAGCCACACGGGAAGCCCATTGTGTCAAATACCAGTCAAATAATTTTACAAGTAGGAACAGTATTTATGATTTCCCACAAGTAGAAATAGTGTTTTTACTATCATAGGAGTCTGTTTCCAATGCTATTAATAATCTGTAGCCATCTAATCTTTTCTGTTTTCAAGTATATTTCAAAACTGACCTACTTTTTAGAATTGTGACTCTTAATTCTGCTGACTAAGAAGTTTATTTTGAGGGGCTTAACAGTTTTTGAACAAATTTGTACATGTTTAATATAGTGATGGTGACTCACGATTTAAAGTTATTTCTCATGAAGGTCTTATACAAGTGTATACTTCTTACATTTGTTCAAAATGCCTAAATTTCAACAGTTCATTGATTATAATTATCAAATATTTCTGAAACCTATGTATATGACTTCTCATTATTTTAACAGACTAGTAGGGGTAGAAATGATCAGAAATGAAGAAATTTTTGGTAGGAAGCTAAATGTCTATCTTAAAGCCTGGGAATTTCTTTTTCCATTTTTCTTTTATTCACTTTACTTGCCTTCCTAAAGTAGGAGAAAATAGAAAAAGAAAAGTTGAGAAGCCATCAGAGAGGACAATGACATAAGTATAAAGGGAAATCATATAGATAAAAATTAACAAGGTTATGGTGAAAGGAAACTGCCATATACAATGAAGACATATTGGCTCAACATTTTCCTACCGCCCATATACTTACTGTCTGTCATTGTTCTCAGCCTGAGAGAACAGTTGTAGCTGACTTGGATAGACTAAGTAGAAACGTAAAGTCACTCTTCAATTTTTGGTTAAATAGACATATTTTAAGAAACAGCAATGAGTAATTGCTTTTATAGTTGATATGAATTAGACATTCTGTTTTGGTTTTCCTTAAAGTTGGCTACTTTGAAACATCTATGGAAAACCTGCTTTGTTTTTCCATCAAGTTTTACTGGTTTTGAAGTCATAGATAATCAGAAGTAAAAAAAAGAAACTTACCATTCTGACTTTCAGAGTCATTTTAAATGTACCTTCATTCTGAAAAGTGAAAAATCTTTTTCAAAATTTTGAGTTATAAATCTATCATCAAATGAAACTATCATATTAATTATGTATATATTGTTTTATAACAAATTACCCCAAAAGAAAGTGGTTTAAAGTAACACTTGTATTGCGATTTATGTGAGTCAGTTCATCTGGGTCTCTTATAAAGCTGTGGTCAAGGTGTTGTCTGTGGCTGTGGTCACCTCAAGGTCCATGGGGGAAGGATTTGCATCTGAACTCATTCACGTGGCTGGTCATTGGCAGGATTCAGTTTCTTATGGATCTTTGGACTGCAGGCCTTGGTTCCTCTTTCACTGACTTATAACCAGAAGTTGCCTTCAGTTTCTCTCCACATGAAACCATTCAACATGGTAGTGTCTTCAGAGCATGCCAGCTGGGAAGGCAGAAAAGACTGTCTCACGAGATGGATGTCACAGGCCTTTGTAACCTGATCTCATAAGTGACATTCCATCCCTTTGGCCATTATTCTGTTCATTAGAAGCAAATCATTGGGTCCAGTCTACACTCACCAAGATGGGATTACACATAGGCATGAATATCGGGAGACAGACCTCATTAGGAGTTATGTCAGAAGCTACCTACCACAGTTATCTTGGGTTCAATACCAAAAATTCTCACTGAAGTATCATTTTACTAATACGGTATCATAATTTTTAATTACAGAAATCTGCTCAGTCGTGTCTGACTCTTTGCGACCCCATGGACTGTAGCCTGCCAGGCTCCTCTGTCCATGGAATTTTCCAGGCAAGAATATTGGACTGGGTTGCCATTTCCTCTTCCAGGGGATGTTCCCAACCGAGGGATCGAACCTATGTCATTTGGGTCTGCTGCATTGGCAGGTGGATTCTTTACCACTGTACCACATGGGAAACTGAATTATAGGAATACTGGGAAAGTAATCATAGATTGATTTAGTGACTAGAAACTGAAATTCATTAGAAGTGGAAGCATTAAGGATAATCTCAGAATGTATTATATATATGGGAAGTTAATTTAGGAGATTCAGCTTTACAGCGGTAGAGAATCTCTTCACAATATCTCTCAAATGATGTTGCCGTTGCTGGAAGGACTAGTCTTAAGAAACTCACTCCCTTGGGGCAGCCTATCCTTTGGGAAAAGTCAACAGTCAAATTTGATCTTACAAAACTAGTTGTGCTCCATGGTGATTAGAGCTGACTCTTTAACCTTGAGTCCTGGTTGTGCTTTCTAACGCAAATGCTAGTCGACATCCCTTCATTTTGTCTTTCAGGCAAATGATACTGACGGGCTGTGTGGCGTTTGCACGTCACGTTGGACCCACACGTGTTGAAGCTGAACTTTTACCACAGTGTTGGGAACAGGTAAATAGTTATATTGGGTTTTCTCTAGCTGTTGTATTCTAGGTTATTGTAAATGCTCATATTATCTTTTAAAAATGCTACTAGAAAATATGTGGGATATAAATTATGCTACTATTTCTGTTGCCCAGCCCGGTGGTTTAACAGTGCTTAAGAAACATCTGGGATGTTTTGCTTTATTCTGAATCAAGTGAGATACAAAATACCAAAAAAAATAAAAAAAAACTAATGAGTTCAGGGAAAGCAGGAGGTTCTGTGTATGGATAAGTAAGGGGTGAATAATAGACGCAGTGCCTGTGTGTGCTGTGTGCTTGTGTATGTTACAGATACATGCAGAATATAAGTGTGAACCTTTGATGTAAGAAATCTGTATGTTTATAATTCAACTCACTATTTACTAACTACACTTTTGGTTTTATATTGAATATTCCTGTCGTCTCTAGAACTCAGGATCTTTGACTTTGTACACTTGACATTTAGGTCATTAAGTAACTCATTGTTCCATCTTAAAAAGATGGATTTCTTACTTATGAAGACAGATTTCATGGCCTTATTTATACCTGCTCCATCACTTGTTCTTAAGAAAAAATATTATTCTCCAGAATATTGCTAAAGTATGTGGTCTTCAAGAATTCTCTTCCCACTTTCTTCAGATATTCATTTTTTTCTTTAAAATTTATAGTCATCTACTAATTTAGTAATCTAGAGACATTATTTGTAAGGGAACATTATATATATTCATATTATCTCTGACAGTCCCTATGTTACCTGTAGCTTGTAATGCACACTAATTTAGGGTAAGACTCTAATCACTGAAAATCAAGTTAAGTTGGAAACAATATACACAACTTTGATTTTACAGTTCTCTACAGTTCTATATATGTACATGTCTTTTTTTAATTGTTTTTCCATCTTCTTTTAAGCTTTATTGAGGTTGTAATTCAGATAACATACAACTCACCTATTTAAAGTCTACAATTCAGTGGTTTTTAGTAGTCACAGAGATACACAGCCATCACTACAGTCAATTTTAGAACAGTTTTATCACCCACAAAAGAAGCCCCAACCCCTTAAATTGGTTCTTGTCTTTCAAGGTTGTTTTGGCTATTCTGAGTCCCTTTAATTTCTGTATAAATTTTAAGATCAGCATGTCAATTTCTGCAAAGAAGCCAGCTGAAATTGTAAGGATTGCCTTGAATCTGTAGATCAATCTGGAGAATGTTGCCATTCCAACAGTGAACTTTTCAATCCATGAATTTAAGATGTCTTTCCATTTATTTTGGCAATGATGCATGAATTTCTCACCTGGAATCACTGTGAAGAGTAAAATCCAAGCTTTTTACTCCACTGGTAAAGAATCCACCTGCAATGCGGGAGACCTGGGCATGATCCTTGGATTGGGAAGACCCCCTGAACAAGGGAAAGGCTACCCACTCCAGTATTCTGGCCTGGAGAATTCCATGGACTGTATAGTCCATGGGGTCTCAAAGAGTTGGACATGACTGAGCGACTTTCACTTCACTTCACTTCTCCGTTTATTTAGGTCTTTTAAATTTTCTTTCAGTAATGTTTTATAGTCTTCAGAATATAATTTACATACTTTTAAAGTTTATTCCTGAGTATTTTATTCTTTTTAATGCTATTGTCTAAATAGAATTTTCTGTATTTTTCTGGTTGTTCATTGAAAGTATGTAGGAATACAGTTGATTGTTGTGTGTACATTTAATTTTGAGACTCATCCTGCTAGACTAAAGAAATGTGTGAGTTTATGTGTAACATATTATGATACTCAAACCATTTTGTCTTGAGGTTACTGTTTCTGGATTAAGTCGGAGATCTCAGTTACCAATAACTCCCCCGCCACCTCTTTCTTCTGTAACCCGAATAAACATGGACATCAGCGATCTGTCAACCGCCTGCCTCCAGTTTGTTGCCCAGTAGATTGCTGCATAATTTCTTTTCTTAATTTTAGGCATCCAATACTTTAATGAATTATGTCACCTTTTCATATGGGAATATGAGAAAAGATATACTTCTTTTCCAGTCAAAGAAAGATGTATATTCTATGAAGAAGACATATGGGAACAAACCCCAGTATGTGTCTTTTTTTTGGTTTTTGTTATTTTTTGTTATGATTCAGTGTAGTCATTACAATAGTAAAACCCCATCATCTTGCATATGCAAGCAGGGATGAATTGACATCGCTTACTTTAAAAACAGTCATAACACCAGTCAGGAGCTTTGGTTAAATCATTGATGATTTGCAACTTAATCCTTGAGGAAAAAAGAGGAATGAAGGATCATTCCTGGTACATATTGTAGGCCATATCAGTAAATATCTAAAAGCTGGACTTTACAAATTTGAAAACATAATGATGTTCCTAGGGAAAGAAAAGGTTGCTTCTGACATCCTAAGGAAAGCTGTCTTGGGCAAGCCCACAATCTCTAGACACCTTGCCATATTTTCATCGTTGCTTTATCCTCTTTCTCTTCAACAGATAACCCCTGTGATCTCATTTTTTAGGCTCTCTCTGAGTCCCTTAATCCTGATCCAGGTATAGATATCCTCAGAAGTGGAAAGAAAGAAGCTTTATTGCATTCCTAACAGGATTTGTGGTGAAAAATAGTTCTGTTTTGGAGGAAGGGAGGGTATGTTGTTTATGTTTGATTTATTTATTTTTTACTCTAGATTAATCACAAATACCCAGAAAGAAGATTGCTTGTGGCAGAATCTTGTGGAGCGCTGGCACCTTACCTTCCTGTAAGAACTGTAATTTTTCTTAAAAAAAAAAAAAAACCTTTTCCTTCTTTTTTTAGCAATAGAGAATCCTTTTTTTCAGGTGTCTTATTATACATATTAATCCACATTCTGTCCTAACAAAGGAAGAAGATGAGCTGAATAAAGAAAGCTCACATTGATACCATGTGACATTGCAGACAGAGGGGAACATTAGCCATTGATTTTACATGAGTACAAATACATTAAACCTCATCAGGAATTCTAAAGTTTGGTTGGAGGACCCTGGGGAGTTCCTTGATCCTTTTGAAGAGGTCCATGAGATAAAAATTATTTTCATAATAACATTAAAACATTTTTTGTCCTTTTCTCTGTGTTGACAGTTACAGTGTTGGTGCAAGCAAAATTTGTAATGGGCAACAGTGGCAGTGCATTAGCACTGATCAAAGCAGTGACACCCAGATAGACAGATAATCATCATATTCTTCACTACAGGGCACTCACAGAAAGTCAGCTTCATTGAAAAATGAACTTGGTGAATCAGTGAAATTATTAATTCTCCTACATTTTGACCCTAAGTGTGCCTCTTTTTCACTATTCTGTATAATCAGCTGGAAGATACTGATATTGAGCCCTTTTGCTGCATTCTGAACTATGATGGCTGTTGCAGAAAGAAAGCACTCAGGTAGTCTGAGTTGTGAGCTGAACCAGCTGCTTTTCTCGTGGGACACCGATTTTACTTGGTAGATCACTGAAAAACAAGCTGTGATTATTCAAACTTGGTATGTGGCAGACATTTTCATGAAGATAAGTGACATGGAGCCTTGCTTCAAGGAAAACAAGTAGACAGTTTTCATTGCTAATGATAAAATTAAAACTTCTAATGAGAACAAGAATTTTGGAAAACTTGTATTCATCATTCAGAGCTTGACAGCGTCTTTTCTTATCAGAATAGGCTATGAAGATACTTCTCCCTTTCTCAGTTTCGTGTTCTGTGAGGCCGGGTTCTCTTATGCACCTCCACCCAAGCAACACACAGTTGAAGGCAGAGCAGATAAGACGATCCTACCTGTCTTCTTTTAAGTCAGACGTCACTGAGATTTGCAACACAATATAAAGCAACACTATTCCTCTCACTAGTTTTTTTTATTATAGTTATTTCCATTAAAGTTGTAATTTCATTAGTCATGTTAACCTTTAAAAGTTGATTGTTTTTAATGCGTTAATAATTTGAAATTTCTCATTTTTAATTTCTGATATGATAAATGTCAGGAGATATTCCCCACCCAAACAAAAGCTGTTTGAGGTGCTCGTTGGTTTCTAAATGACCAAGGGCCTCCCGCCAGGAGGAAGACTGAGCACGCTGGCCCTGTGCTCCTGAGGTGTCTCCTGACGGGTCCAGGCCTACAGGGGATGGAAGCAAGAGGTGACATCAAGAGTCATTTCCCTTTGAACAACGGTAATTTAAAGCAGAGCTTGGCAAAGTACAGTCTGGAGACCAAATGGAATCCACAGCCTGTTTTTATGAATAAAGTTTTATTGGCATGCAGCCACACCCATTTCCTGTGACTTGTCTGTGTCTGCTTCCGTACTGCAACAGCAGAGTTGCGGAGCTGCGGCAGAGACTTTTTGGCCCAGTTTGCTGACCGCTGCCGTGAAGGGCCATTTCCATAAGACTGCCCTTTAAAAGGAGTACAAACATTGGAACTGTGCAACAGGACATGAGCTGTTTATGTCACATTTACCGTCCCTCACATTCTTCAGTGTGAGGGTGAGTGAAGACTGAAACCCAGAGTCAGACAATTGTCTTTTTAAAAAATAAAATTTATCTTTTCTTTTTACACAGAAAAATACAAAGAATAATTCAAGAATAATTCATAGTCTCCACTCCCAGAAATGTTGTTGCTGAAAATAAATTTTCAGACAGATGAAAATCAAAGACTTCCCTGGCCCTAGTCATTCTCTCCAAAGACAGACATCTATGGTTAATGGTTTTTAACGAATACTTAAGAAAATAAAAATTCGAGCATATGCAAGCTTACATTTTTATATCTTTAAAATTTTTCTTACTCAGAATTAATCGCATGGTACAATGATCTGTTTATCCCTTGTGTGGGAATCTATGCATTTTACATTTTCACATATTGTTAAAACCTCTGTATCTTATTTCTCTTGACATGTGCATTTTTTTATTTTGACTGTTAAATCGCCAAGACATCACAGATTGTTCTCCTATTAGCAGTGCATCAAAGTTCTTATTTTCCCATGCTTCCGCCAGGAACTGGGCATAAACTTTTTTTTAGTGTTTTCCTATGTTTTCAGAGGAAATTATCTTATTGTGATAAATTGTGTAGGTAGATATCCATGAGTGAGTCTGAGCATCCTATTATTTATTGTTCCAGGAGAGAGCTGAACATCACATGCTCTCAAAGAAGGAAGAAACCGTTCCACTCTGCTCCTAGTACTAGAATGCTAAGCAGCATTAATAAAGAGCTTAATATTTCCTGCCTGGCTCTCCACTTGCCTGTCACCCCACTGTAACTGGTGGCAGTAGAACCTCAGGGCAGTCACAGCTCAGACGGCGTGAAGCCTCCTAACTTGTCCCGTGGGTTCCCTTGGCATCTGGAAGCTGCCACAGTTGACCTCTGCATTGATCGCTGCAAAGCAAATGCCCAGCTGAGATTTGCTTACCTCTGTCCTATTGCCCATTTAGATATCAACCAAAAAGCCCTTTTAATACACTTTTAAAGAGACGTTGGGAAGCAGTATTTAACCTAAAAGATAAATAAACAAGGCTGTACCAAAAGGTATATTCACCACCCTAAATGTGACCAAACTGTTCTATAATTACATATATTTTGTTTTTAAAAATCAAAACAAAAATTAGATATTTAAAAATGTCTTTCAGACCTTGCTCTGCATACCAAATCACACTAACTAGAGATTTACAGAAATGGTCATTTCCTTTTATTGTAACTGTTAAATGTAAAAGTGACCTGAACAAGTTGAGGTTTAAAGAATTTTATAAATTGATCAAGTTACAATAATGGTACAAAAAAGGGAAGGAAGGGCAAGAATATGAAAACAATGACACTTATTCTAACCTCAGACATTAATTAGGCTGAATCCATGGGGTAAAAGTTGTATGAAACTTAAAGACACAATAGTAGTTGACATTATATTTAATAGTAGTATCTGAAAATAGCCATGCAGTTTTGTAAGTGCTTTTAAAGTTTACTCTCATATTTTATCATTCTGTTTTTTTCTTTTTCCCTCAGTTCTTCAAAAAAAATAGCAACACCAGGATTTTAGTTTCCATACTCCTACCCCAGGCAAATGTTTTGATTACCACAGTGCTTTTTGTAATCCCTCCTGTTATGACTATCAGTGCTTTTCTGAGTTCCATAGGTAGTGATAGAAAGAATAGTCATTTTACACAGAAGAGTCTGTTTATGGCAGAGTGGTGACTGTTGATTTGCCAAAAGCACACTGTGAAGGTTTCAGGGATTGGCACATACATAGTAAAAATACAGAAATATGCTGGGAGATGATTAATACCAAGTTCAGGGTAAATGTTATCTTTAGAGAGGAGAACTAGGGGAAGGGGAGGGGGGAAGAGAGTCATGTGCTTCAGCTGTGTCTATAATGCCTTCTGTGTTTCAGAAATGGGGACTTGAAGCAGACATAGCAACGTGTTAATATATATTTAATCTGGATTGTGAATACATGGCTGTCTGTCATTTTTTCCTATTCTTTTCTGCTGCTAGTATAAATAAATAGTAAAGCATGTTCTTGTTTATTTCAGAAAGAGATCCGTAGCTCCCTGGTTCTTTCAATGTTGCAGCAAATGTTAATGGAAGACAAGGCAGATTTGGTAAGAGAAGCTGTGATCAAAAGCCTTGGTATCATTATGGGATACATTGATGACCCAGACAAATACCAGCAGGTATGCTTTTCAGAATAAATCCCATCTATTCCATTATAAAATTCCGAATGGTGTAATATCCCAAACCTCTGATTCAGATACCCCATACTCTATGGTAGGGATGGCAAATGTGTCAACTTGAACAAGTTAAAGTTGGCTGCCTGGTTTCAATTCTGCAATTTCAAGGAGAAAATGCTTTGATTCATTTATAGTATCTGCCACAGCTTTGTGGCAGGAAATTGGCAATAAGCATGCCATTTTCTTTCTGGTTTCCCCCTCAATGGATACATGACATTTTTCTTTAAAGAAATTGGGGAAGGCAGGCTTATGAATGTTTTCTTTCTTGCTTCAGATGTCTTCTAAATGTATTGGAATGTATGTTTATTACATTTTATTGTGTTTTTGAGGCTTCTGTTTTGTTTTAAATCTGTGTTGTGTCTGTTTCCTTTTGGCAGGGTTTTGAACTGTTGCTGTCAGCCTTGGGGGATCCCTCAGAAAGAGTCGTTAGTGCTACACATCAAGTATTTTTACCAGCCTATGCTGCCTGGACTACAGAACTTGGAAATTTACAGTCTCACCTTCTACCCACATTGCTGAACAAGATTGAAAAACTTCTCAGGGTAAACGCTTCCTTTATTTATACAGTTAATAGAAATTTTAAAGGTGTGTTTTAAGGCATCTTGAAAGAATGTTGGGGAAGCAAAGATAGAAAGTATCACTTTGCTGAACATTCTAATTAATTACCCATTAAAGATTCTGTTGGTCTGGAGCCAAGAGAGATTTGAGGAAGTTTTGCTTGACTGAAGCTAAGGAGAAAGGGCACGATCTGACTTTGATAGCTAAAATAGCACCTTTGTGGCACCTACTCTGACACAGTTCCCAACGTTGCCTCTTGCTAACCTCTTCTGAATACTTAAATACTTTAAAGTATCAGCTTCTGTCCCCAGAACTCAGAGATAACTTAAAATAAGAGTCTTCAAAGCTTTCTTGTTTACACAATGTCAGAATGTTTTAACTTTATTTCACTGCATTGGTTCATGCCCTCACTCTTTAAAATGAATTTTCTTTTCTTTAAAATGAATTTTCCATTATTCCTAAGAACAGAAGAAAAGTCGATACAATGAAACTAATTTTTGTACTAAAAGTCTCAGCGTCTAGGAGAAAAACTAACATTTCTTTGTGTGTATTATGTACACGTTATGTACCATGTTTTATAAATACAATCTATTATTTCATTCTTAGAACTCTTTGAATTATATTTTGGTCTTCTGGTGTGGAAACTGTTTAACTTACCACAGCTGTCAAATGACAGGACCAGGCTCAGGTATCAGCCTCTGAGACTACTCTGTTGCCCTTTCTACCCCCAGATTCTAAGAATCTTTATAAGACTCTTAACATAAAGTATTTTAACATATATATATATGTACTACTCTGTGTATAGTCTTACATGTATATATGTGCATTTATTTAATTTAAAAATTGGACTTTTTTTCCTATAAATTTCAAAATGCATGTTGAAGACTATAAATAGACAGCCAGACTGGAGTACTTCTTTTTATGAAACCTAGGGAATTTTTCTCAAGTATTTTTTTTTTTAATATTTGCATCCCTTCTATACCGGGTTTTCTTTGTTCCATTCCATAACACAGCTAGTTCCACATTGCTACAAAACATAGCTGTGGTATTCAGCACAGGTAATGTTCCGTAAAGAAATTAACTAATTTAGAACTTGATAGTAAAAAAACCTAATATACCTGGTATTTCTGACACAGTTGTTATTTATAATATAATGAGATCCCAAGTGGATTTGAGCAGCATTAAATGCTTTTACCTCTAGTGATTCTATTTTTCACTTTAATACTTGGTTTCTGTGTACCATAGTGATCGTTTTACTCTTTTCGGTTGTTGTTTCTATTATCTCTTTCTTTTGTTTCCTGTTGAAATTTCTTCTGCGTTTTACTGTGAATTATTTTAAAGTGTATTAAATACTGGCAAATATAGTTGTCATCAAATCTATGAAAGGAGTTTGGAAGTAGAGAGAAAATAAGTGCTACTGCTGGTTTAACAGTTGAGCATTTAAAATGATTCCTTTGATCACTTTAATATCTTTAACTTGACTTCTCAAATTTCAAAAGTTAAGACCCTCTTAAAAGAAAAAACCTGTGAAAGAAGTTCCACACAAATGAAATGACTGATGTTCACCCTGAAGTTTTCCATACAAAAGATTCTATCACGTCCACAGTGCCTTGGGAACGTTAAAACATTAGCCGTGCCCAACCCGTCCAGCCCCATGAACTGCAGCCCACCAGGCTCCTTTGTCCATGGAATTCTCCAGGCAAGAGTACCAGAGTGGGTTGCCTTTTCGTCCTCCAGGGGGTCTTCCTGATCCAGGGATCGACCCAGGATCTCCTTCACTGCAGGCAGACTCTTTACCTTCTCAGCCGCCAGGGAAGACCCCACAGTGCTTTAGCTCTTTGTATTTTCACACACTCAGAGCAACTGAGAAAAGATTCTTGGTCATCTCCATTAGGTTTACTGTGAGGCTAACACACATGTCGTTCAGTGTTTTATTGTTTGCCGCCGAAAGGAAGAGCGTCATAAATGCATACTCTCAGGAGACTAAATTAGCTTCCACCTGTTTATGTTTCAGGAAGGCGAGCACGGGCTGGATGAACATAAGCTCCACATGTATCTGTCTGCCTTGCAGTCCTTGATCCCATCTCTCTTTGCATTAGTGCTACAGAACGCACCCTTCTCCAGCAAAGCCAAGCTTCATGGTGACGTGCCACAGATAGAAGGTATTGAACTTAAATTATGGAAGGACGATGTAGAACATTGACAGCTTAGCTTCCCACAGAACTGTTTTTGATTAAAATTGTAAAAGTCACTTTGTTTTAGTTGCTAAATCATGTCCAATTCTTTGCAACCCCAAGGACTGTAGCCCACCAGGCTCTTCCGTCCATGGGACTTCCTGGGCAAGATTACTGGAGTGGGTTGCCATTTCCTCTCCACAAGTCACTGTATGACAGCATAGTTACTAAAATGTATTATATGTGTGGAACCGCGTGGTCAGAGATTGTATGATACTTAAGGGGAGCTACCTGGCTTCATCACTTATGGATAAGCCTCATGGTGTTATTTTACAATATTTATTCTTCCTCTCCATTCTTAATCTAGAGCCTTTTTGTAGCCTTTTTTTTTTTTTTTCAGTGTGGTAAGTCAGAAGTGTTTTCTTTCATTAACAGAGCTGAATTAATAGTTACCAGGGCCAGTTTGTGAAGCTTTTCATTTTCATTTTCTTTGTATTTTTTTTCTTCCTCAGCTATTTTGTGTTATTTTCAGAAGGGGAAAGAAAGTATAATTGCTATTTCCTGCTGTGTCCTTGATAGGAATATAAGCATATGCAGCACAGTTCCCCCCCNCCCCCCGCCCAGAAAAAAGAATATGATTTATTTTCAGGAATAAATGAAATTGATAGCAAAAGCCATTATTTTCTTAGCTCAGAGTCCAGCTAACCAGTCAGTGACCTTTGATCCATGGCACGTGGTAGCCCCACAGCACCCAGCCCCAGGATAAATGGCTATAGACAAGCTATTAGTATGTATGAGGTTTTCAGATTTGTGAAATTATTCATCTCTTCTGGGCTTCTAATAAACAGGAGTATAAAAGCAAGTGTTTTTAGTGTTACAATTTCCATATAAAGTAAACTGGGCCACCTGTAATCTCTGGGATATGAAGCAGTATATCCAACAATGCGTGAAGCATTGCATAAAAATGGTATATACTGTAAGAATGCCAGTTTCTTGGAAAATTGAGAATGGATAGGGTAGAGTTAGTTTAATATTTTTTAATTATAATCACTGAGGAGAATGAAATTTCAGACTTAATGATAAACGACAAAGTGCTCACAGCTGGCTCCTTTAGTTTTACCCCTTCACTCACTAAGGCACTTCGGCTGCCTAGGGACTTTCTAATTTGCTTTTTCTTTCTATCTTGCTGCATTGTTCTGCTACATCCACCATAACAAAGTGACAGAAACATAGTGCTTTAACATCAGATGCTTGTTGTCGTGCAGTTCTGAAGGCGTTCTGAAGGTGAGAGGTCTAAGATCAGGTGTCAGCAGGGTTGGCTCCTTCTGAAGGCTGTGAAGGGAAAGCTCTTTCCTGCCTGTCCCCTAGCTTCCGGTGGCTTGCTGGCGATCTCTGGTATTCTGGCTTGTAAATGCATCCCCCCAATCTCTGCCTTCATCTTCACATTCCGTTCTGTGTGTGTGTGTGTGTGCGCGTGTGCGTGTCTCTGTGCCCAAACTTCCCCTTGTTATGAGATCAGCATCGAAAGTCCACGCTGTTCCAGTGTGACTTCATCTTATCTAATTATATCTGCAACAGTACTATTTCCAGATAAGATCATATTCTGAGGTCCTAGGGGTTAGGATTTCAACATACAAATTTTTAAGGGAGACACAGTTCACCCCATAGCATTCGCTATCATTTACTTAGCAAATAATTCTTCAGTGTCACCTATGGCCAAGCACATGCTAGAGATTAGACAGAAAATTTTCAAAACTACTTTACCATTCTGAACAGATGTTTATGTGACCTTTCCTTGTGATTATGTCTTTATCATGTCAAAAATAATCTTAAGTTCTCACTGACTTAATTTGACCTTCTGACTTTTAGCTGTAAATGTTAATGTTGTTATACTCACATGTAGGTTATAATACATTTACTATAAATGAGGAAATATTATATCCATATTTAGGGTCTGTCTATATAGCTGTGTCTATATGTCTGTCTATATGCCCATCTATATAATTTGGGATACAATTTATTACAAGTGAAGATTTATTTGTTTTTCGCTTAAATAATGAAAATTCCACAACACTAGCTAATATTTATGCAAGGTACTATTTTGAACACTTCAGATGCACTCACAAATAAAACAGACAAAAATCTCTGCCATCATAGAGCTGATATTTTGGTGGGAAGGAAATACATTAAAGAATCATAGCAGCTGTTATTTTGCTGGATTTGGATAATTTTGGTAATTTTTATACAATAAAATGCTAGCTTTTTGCCAGTCTATTGAAATGGCATTCTGAGGACTTTTCTGTATGTTCACAAGTTAGATGCTTAAATTTTTAAAAAGCCTTTTAAATAGAATAATACTTTGAGGTTCCTAAACCTCAAACTTATCATTCCAACTACTTATCTTTTACAACTGAGTTGTCCATGGTGTATTAATTGCTCAGTTATGTCTGACTCTGCGACCCCATGGACTGTAGCCCGCCAGATTCCTCTGTCCATGGAATTCTTCAGGCAAGAATACTGGAGTGTGTAGCCATTTCTTCTCCAGGGAATCTTCTCAACCCAGGAATCGAACTCCAGTCTCCTGCATTGCAGGCGGACTCTTTACCATCCAGATGCATTTACCATTCAGAGAGTCCCCAGGGAACCCCTGAGTTATCCAAGTAATTGCTTATTTCTTGTTTTGCTTCTGTTGGACCTCGCTTTAAATCTTTGGACCTCACTTTTCCTATAATAAATCTTAACATTATCTATTTTACTCTTAAATCTCCCACTGTTTTTCAGTAATTTGTCATATTTCTGAAGGAATAATATGCATTCTATTGTAGCATCACAGATTGTGACCACTATGATATAATCCTATTTGAAGTGATCAGATGTGCTTTGACATGATATAGAAATATGAGATACAGCTATCCCTCACTGTCCAAATCTGTTTGATTCCTAGGTTGAGATAATGATGATTCATGCAGAAATCTCAGAGAGTATGGGATACCATTTTACCTAAATTCATTTATTTGTTTGTGTGTTATGATAGCAAGTAGAGACTTTTAACTAACAAGGGGCAATCTTTATCTGTACTTAAGATATTGTTAAATACCTTAGGAAGCATAGGAAGACAATACCATCTTAATTTTGTCTTTCAGCATTTTAAAAGTTATTTCATGTTTTCGTACGTTTAATGATTATCATTAAGCCATTCATATGCTTTGAGAAAATGCTGCATCTTTCATTGCGTCTTTTTAGAGTGTTAACCTCTATGCAGGAGCTGTTGGACCACTAGGAATTTCTCTTCAACAGTTAAGGAGCTGTTGGTAGCATTCTTCACTTAAGAGCCAGCTAAGACCTGGAATCTAATTGTGATCTGTAGGATCATAAATTTTATTGATATGTTCAAATTTGAAAATATACTAATGTATATTTGATATTTATTTACACAATTTTAAAAGTCATTTTTTCAGTTTTCCCCAAAAACTTTTAAAGTTTGTATTTATAATAATTTTTAAATTATTATTACATATAGCTTTATCTTACTGGTCACTGCTTTTAACACTTTATATTAACTTAATGTTTATCAAATTATGGAAAACTTTCTAAATAAGGTATTTAATATTGGAGATTAAATACTTAAGAACCCTGTTCAGCTCAAGCTTTAGTGTATTTTAGGTTATTCTCTGGTATTAAACAATTTTTCCCTGCTGTCAACCTATTAGTTTCTTACTCCATGAAGGAAATATCTTATTATAGTTATTATTTATTGACATAAGCAGTGTGGTGGATTTATAACTATCTTTTTTTTTTTTTAAACCAAATTCAAATCCATATTTTAACTGAGATCTTATTTTGGAGCAAATTTTAAATTAAAATGAATAAAGTTTTGCTTTTTACTGGCAAACTCTTTCATTTCAGTATTCGTTTACTAGATATTTAGTCTCATAAAATCTTAATTTTTTGAGATTTGTTAAATTTGTTACATGCAAGAGAAATTTACAGTCGAGCCTTAAACAACAGGAGTTTGAGGTGTGCACATCCACTTATATATGGATAGTTTTCCGTAGTTAATATTGTAGTACTGCCTGGTCCATGGTTGGTTGAATTTGTGGGTGTGGAGGAATCTCTGACACAAAGGTCTGACTATAAGTTAGACAGTTTAACCCCTGACTGTGCAGGGATCAACTACATTTCATTTTTTTCTAAAAGTGATTTAATGTATTTTAGTTTTATGTTTGAAGTCTAGAATATGCTAAATAGATATGGGGAGGCAGAACCTTACTCTGCTTCTGATCAGAGAGCTGACTTCCCAAAGCGCCGTTTTCCGCGTGACTGACTTGGCGTCTCCGCGTTGGCAGTGACGAGGTTCCCTCGGCCCGCGTCGCCTCTCCAGGACGTGTCCACGGTCGTCGGGAGCCGGGAGCAGCTGGCGCTGCTGCTGCAGCTGTACGACCACCAGCTGGAGCACGAGGGCACGGCCGGCTGGGAGACTCTGCTGTGGGTGGTCAACCAGCTGTGAGTTGCCGCCTCCGCGTTCGCGCGGTGCCTCCCAGCCACGTCAGTGGGGGACGGCTCGCGATGCTTGGCCTGGGAGCTGGGGGACACAATATAGCAAAATACTTTTAAAAATAACAAAACGTAACTTGGCGTCATCTGTGGTAACTGTCTTCAGGAGAGAAGATTTATACCTGTAGACATGTAGTTCCTTATCCGTGAAAACGGTGCGTCTGTATTACTGCAGAAAGACCTGGCTGCTCCCTTATTGTCTAAAAGGGGTGGTGGATTGTAAACTACGTCCAGACTTCTCATTTTTGAGGCTAAAATATATGGTGCCATGTTAGCCAAGCTTTTGTATGAAGTGTCACCTCCATTGACTTAAGTCTTATTAACACCACACTTAGAATTCTGCCATTAAGTTTCCGAATATTTCATGATAATCTCTTAAAATTTAAGAAGTTTACAGAATATAAAATTAAGACTTTTTCAAAGGGTCCCAAACAACTCCTTTGTTTTCTAATTTTACTGGCTGTGAAAAGCAGAAGAGATTGTTAGATTTGGATTGTTTCAGAAATTGGCAAGGAAACAGTAATTTATTTGTATCCCCTGTCTACTTTCCTTTCTTTCTTATTCAGGTTACCACAGCTTATAGAAATAGTTGGCAAAATTAATGTTACTTCAACTGCCTGTGTCCATGAATTCTCCAGATTTTTCTGGCGCCTTTGCCGGACATTTGGCAAAATTTTTACAAACACTAAGGTAAAAACTTGTATTTCATATTTTCTTATATGCAAGACATATAAAAACGTAATGTGTTAATTAATGATATGGGAGAGTAACTAAAAGCAGAGCCCTTCCTTTATTCTAATTATCTTTTAACATCTTAGAAAGCTATGATAATAAAAGAAAATTCTGGTCTGTAATATTCTTATCTTTATTGACTTTCAGAAAATGATTTAGCCAAAATTCAGTCTGTATCCACATTTAAATATAAGGTCTGCTCACTGTGGATGTCTCAGAGCTTTCCAGCAGAGAAAGGATCAGCTAGGGGACTCCACTGCAATTCCGTGAATGTGATTCTTGTACTGAATCTACCACAGATTCAGGAAGCCCCCATTTCCTCTATATTCTTTTGTCAGAACTTTAGGTGATTGTGGGCGTCCCTGATAACTCAGTCGGTAAAGAATCCACCTGCGATGCAGGAGACCCCAGTTCGATTCCTGGGCCGTGAAGATCCCCTGGAGAAGGGATAGGCTACCCACTCCAGTATTCTTGGACTTCCCTTGTGGCTCAGCTGGTAGAGAATCCACCTGTAGTGCAGCAGATCTGGGTTTGATCCCTGGGTTGGGAAGATCCCCTGGAGAAGGGAAAGGCTACCCACTCCAGTATTCTGGCCTGGAGAATTCCATGGACTATATGGGGTCACAAAGAGTCGGACACAACTGAGCAACTTTGACTTTCACTCAGGTGATTATAGAAACAAAGCAGCTTATGTAGAATACTTGCTACAAGACAGGAGCTCTTGGAATAGAATGGACACTTGAGATAAATGCTGCATATTTCAGTCACTGTCACATTTGCCTAACCAGGTTATTTTGTTGTTTGAATATTAAAATTGCAAAGTCTTTAGGTCCTACTTTGTTCTTTAATCCTGTTAATCCATTTGTCTTCACAACAGATTGTTGAGCCAGTTCTTTAGAGCATTAACAAAACCTTATAAAGATATAGTTGTTATATGTTAAGACATTTAAAAGGTAAAAATTTTGTGGCATCTCTTGGCTAAGCCTGTAGTTTTTGAAACATTTAGAACATAACAGTTTGGTATAGTGGACTGACAAAATTCAGAAAATGGGTTATGACTCTGTGTGTCCTTGAATAAATCGTTTAATGTGTCTGTACTTAATCTTTTCATGTGTAAAATGAAATTTAATCCTTTACATCTGATGCTGTAGGTTAATCTTTTCACAGTGGTCTACATCTCAGTTTAAATGGAATTTGCAAATTAATATGCCTGACCTATTGATAGGAGGGCAAAAACCAGAGCTTAATGTTACTGTAGGAGAAACCAGGTCATTCATTAACATCTAATTATCAAGTATAGTTGGATTCTACTGGGAATCACTGTTGGCAAAAACTGTTTGACATCTCCAGAAGAAGTAAATGTTATTTATTTTACTTTTTCTTACAAAAGCAATTAGGAATTCACTTTAACACTTCAGTGGTTGACTTCAGAGGCCTGAAATCTGTGATGTTAAAAATAAAAATTGAAACAAGCATTTCCTTTAACTTAAAACTTTACTGTTAAATTCTGTCTTTCATGTTTAAAATTAAATTTTTAGAAAGTTAAAGACTAAGCCAACAGATATAACATAATGAGTATCTTACTTACTAAATATCCTCAATGAATGGAATTTCATTTTCCTTCCTTTTATACACAACATTTTTTTTCAACAGTTTTAATCATATAATATCTGCCTAATTACCCTTTCTATCATCAGTTTTGGTTTTGGGAGGTAGTAATTTCAAACACTTAAAGTCACCTTGGAAATTATTTTAATTTAGTGACGGAATCTAAAGGTCCTTCAGAAAACTTGCTGACCTAAATTGATTTTTTAAATATTTTATCTCTAAAAAGATATTGTTTTCAGAAACTTGACCATTCTTTTTTCCTATGGCTTTTAAGAACTGTTGTGTTTTTGACTACTTGAATCTTTAAAAATCAGTAGTAGTAGCAATGGTAGGAAACATTTTATTTAACCATTGACTGGTCTGTTGAACCTGAGACTTTCTGGGTCTTTTCTTTGGGTTGCTTAGGTGAAACCTCAGTTCCAGGAGATTTTAAGGCTATCTGAAGAAAATATTGGTAAGTTTGTGCATTATAATTTTTAAAAACAATTAAGTCTCTTTACTCCAGAAAAATACTTTATGCATTATATGCAAATTGTATAAATAAACTAACAAGTACAGTTGAAAAGGAAAATTTACACTATGGAGTTCTTGGGTTTACAGCACTGCTACATCTAATATCCTTTCCATGGAGTAGTAGTAAGATTAATCTCCATCAGTTTTATTGTAAATATCTACCTTCACTGTAATCAAATTGACCTAAACCTGACCTTCTCATACTGTGTACTTACTTGTGACTTTGGAGGTTTGAAGTGGTGCAATTGAAATACTGAAAAGGAAAAAATACAGAGCATGTAATTCATAATTAGTTACTTAGAACTTTTAAAAATTAGAACAAGTATAACTGAATAGAAAGTAAGATATACATATATATATTTTTAATGAAACATGAGATTTTTAAGAAACTAGAGGCTTTAATGGGCAACTATGCCCCTCTGCTCATAGTTTTCAATTACTGTCTTAAGAAGTCTGGTTATAGCACCAAGAACTCCTTTATGTGTAGATCTTATGTCCCTTGTATTTTTCTAATTTCTGGGAATGAATTGTGAAAAATATTAAGGACAAAAATGTATAGAGACCGTGATTTGTATTGTAACTTGGCTGTTTTGGATGTGTAGGTAATTCTTATCTCAGTCTTACCTTAGTAATTTGATTTGAGTCATCTGGAAAACTCCCATTTTTGTCTGTCCTCAGAGGTGATTAGAGATTTGTAAATAAATGATTCCTTTTAAGTTTGAAAATGTCAGTGAGGTGTTTTTTTTTTTTTTTTTGACAAATGCTTCCTAAAGTTTATATTTAATAGCTTTCTAATGGTTTAATTACTTGAAATTAAAAATTGGTGTTATCTGTTTAGTTAATTACTCATTCTTATGATATCTTTTAGAATTATTAGTTACAAGGTGATTATATACAGTCTATATGTATGAATTCAACTTAAGCTTATGTTCGTAGCCTCAGATTTACCTCTCAGCTACCATAGTCACACTCAGCCAACATCGGTACTACCCAAAAGATAAAATTACTCTTGCCAAGAGAATAAAAAAACCTCAAATACTAATTGATATGAAAATAGATTCTTTTCTGGTGAAAATACTTTCAAGATAGTTAAATGCATGCTTTTAACTGAATTCTGTATGTACTACTTTCTGAAAAGAATTTAAAACCATATAAGAATAGAAAAAAGTAATTTTTAAAAGTTTGAGTACATGAAAGCAAATGTGAAGTGCTTCAAATAATGCCTAACATCAGTAAGTGAGAGCTGTTGGTGCTGTAAATAGCAACTGCCATATCATCTCTGGACCTGTTTTTAAAAAATCATCTACACATGCTGCATAAGAAGGAAAATCTGATGTCTTAAAGTCGTCACAGGACACTCAGCTTTCCCCTCTCCCCAAGCTGTATTTAGCCTCCCTACTCCATGAAAATAGTCAGGGTTCTGTCTGGCTTCTGAAAAACCCCTGTACAGGATGCAGGAAGAGGTCTGGAACTAGGCTAATACTAGAAACTAGGTAGTGTCTCGATGTCTAGAAGCAGGTTAAATATATATCTAGATGTCTCCTTTCAGCTGAGTACCTTGATGTTTTACTGAATACTGCAAATTAGAAGTCTGAAAATTCATACAACATGCTTATACGGCCACTTGGGAAAGTGTTAAAGAAAGCTCTGATTTATGACTATGCAAATAACAGTATAGCATCTCATTTTGGTCATTAAAGTTTTTCCCATCTATCAAAATTATGTATGCTAATGGCTCTGAAAAGTATTAAGTTGCATTTTCACAACCACCAGTGGATATGCATGTTTTGATCAAAGTATTTTTAAAGTAATGATAACATTTATTTGTAAGCCTTGTAACCAATTGTAATTTAAAATATAATTTGTACTATGACTTTGACTTTTTGCTTTACATTTAAAGCATACTCAGATATTTAAAATTATTTTTGTGATTTTTAGATTCCTCAGCAGGACATGGGGTCCTCACTAAAGCTACTGTCCCCATTTATGCAACAGAAGTCCTTACGTGTTATGTTCAGGTAAGGGAAAAGTTCTTTGCCTGGAAAATGTAAAAGCTCTTTCTATTTAGAAAGATAGCTCATGTTATGTCTTTTAATGTGTTTAAAAGTGAAAATAATACCCATAAATGAGAAACAAATTTATTTATTCTTATTCAATAAATAATTTATAGTAGAAAGCATATTTTAATAAAGTCTCTTGAGGACTATCTCTGTTAAATAAAATTAGAGATTGTGTGCTTCGTGATATTTTGTTTAAAAGTGTTAGATTGTACTTATGTAGAAGTTTCTTTGTGTTTCATGATAATTTTTTCATTAATAAACAAAGCACATGTGTTAGCTGAAGCACACTGCAAAATGCTGTANTAAGTCTATTGATTTTGACCATAAATAGTATTCTAAGGCATAATAAATATGAAATACATATTTCAAGGCTTGACAAAGTATGAAATACAAGGTTTGTCTCATAGTAGTCCCTCAGAATAGATTTACTGAATAAATCAATATAGACATATTTTTTGAGTAACTGTGTGAAATACAAATATCTAAAGAGATAAGAGCTTTGCTACTATTTACAAAATGAGAACTGAGTGGCTATCATAGATTGCCAGTGCTTAAGGAAGCATGCGCCAGTGTTTTTCTTACTAAACAAAATTTTCTATTAAGGTAAATTAACTGTCCTTGTTGCTTTGGTAAGCAAAGCCTATTTTGAATCAAGTGTGTAAGCAGTATTACTTGCTTTGAAATTTCAAAGTTGAGAAATCGTGTTGCAGTAAATTTTCAAATCAAAGAATTCATGCTCATTTAGCAGTATATTTTATAGCTGTTACTTCACAGTTAAGTTTTTTCAGATTTACAGTTTATTTTCCAAATTCTGTGGATCCTCTGATACAGTAAGCAACTAAAAATGTGTGAGATCTCCGTTCCACCATAGCTCTGATGGTGGCTTGTCAGTGTTTCTGTCCTTCACGAAGCAGACCAGCATATTATAAAACTGCTGTGTCCATCCTTTATTCATGTTGAGCATTACTTTTGTCAGTCCTTTATTTCTGCCTCACTCTAAGTTAACCTGACCATGTAGGAAAAGTTAGATGGTAACCCAGTCTTCCTCATGGATCTAGTGATGTATGTGCCTTTTTAGTCACTCTGTTATACCTAACTCTTTGTGACCCCATGGACTATAGCCTGCCAGGCTCCTCTGTCTATCGGATTTTTCAAGCAAGAATACTGGAGTGGGTTGCCGTTTCCTTCTCCAGGTGTCTTCCTGACCCAGGGATCAAACCTGCCTCTCCTGCATTGATTGGCAGGTGGATTCTTTACCCCCGAGCCACCAGGAAGCGTTGATACTGATATATATATATAGAAGCCATTTATTGTTGACATAATATAGCCCTAAAGATAAAATATTTGACTCTAATTTATTATATATTTATTTCCTGATAGAATGTCAGATTCTTTCCCTTACAGATTCTGGCTAATTTAACATACACTTATCTTTTTAAATTTTACTATTGAGCAGACTTGCTTTTTCTAACAAATTTCTTAATAGTGTGCTGTGTAAACAAAGAAAGAAAGAAATATTTTCTGATTATTAAAAGAATGGTTTGTCAAAGAAAGCTTAAAAATAAAGGTTATTTTTAAATCAAAGGTGTGACTATTTTTTTTTTTTAAGGACACAATGGTCTGTATTTCAGCAACTGTATGACTTCTCACCACTAATGATTTCTCAGATATCAATTTCTACTCTTGGGAGGATAACTGTTTTAGTGGCTTATATTTAAGTATTTAGAGCCAAAATTAGTGGGAAGTAAAACTGTTAAAATGAATTTTAGTTAAAAAAAAAAAACACCTTTTCATGTCTCAAACCGGAACTATCTCATCAAACTTTCTGCAGTGATGAAGTAATCTGTATCTGAGTGAGGTAACTGGACATGGATGTTAAACAGCTTGAATTGTAATTAGTGCAGCTCAGGAACTGAATCTTTGATTTTACTTCTCTTTAGTTTGAGTGTAAGTTACCACATGTGGTTAGTGACTACCATATTTGACAGCTCAGGTCTAAATCTATGAATCAGAAGGGTGTTTGTCCTCATACCATTGTGACTGTAGATATGCTTAATAAATATCTTTAATTAAAATGCTTCTAAATCAGGATATATTCCACTTATTTGATAAAATTTTCTAATTGTAGATATGAAATGATGGTTTTTAAGTTCTACCTGATTGCTTGGAAATTCATTATCATTCTTTTTCCTCTGTAGGAAGAAGACCGAAAGCTGTTGATTGGATTCTTAGAAGATGGAATGACCTTGCTTTCATTATCTCATGCTCCTCTTGATAGCCTGAAAGTTTCTTTTGTGGAACTGGGGTAAAAATAATAGCTTATAGATTTTAAAAGGTATAGAATAGTCTAAATAAAGATTAGTATACACACCAAACTTCTTGATTTTTTACTTAAGATTTTTTGTTCTTTTTTTTTGTATATTTTAATATTTTCTAATCAATACATTGTAATAAAAGAAGGAGGTAATGGATAGAGACATGTCTTCTTTGAAGCAGCTGGAGGCATAAAATCAAGTACAAATTCGAAGAAAATTCAGTGGCCCCAGACTGGAAAAGGAGTCCCAGTGAAAGCCAGATCACTGGGCTCCCTTTTCCATTCCAGTTCATTTGCCTGTTTTACCGCACAGTTGCACTCATCTCACTGGCAAAGTAATGCTCACAATTCTCCAAGCCAGGCTTCAACAGTACGTGACCCATGAACTTCCAGATGTTCAAGCTGGTTTTAGAAAAGGCAGAGGAACCAGAGATCAAATTGCCAACATCCACTGGGTCATTGAAAAAGCAAGAGAGTTCCAGAAAAATATCTACTGATGCTTTATTGACTATGCCAAAGCCTTGGACTGTGTGGATCACAAAAAACTCTGTAATATTCTTCAAGAGATGGGAATACCAGACCACCTGACCTGCCTCCTGAGAAACCTGTATGCAGGTCAAGAAGTAACAGTTAGAACTGGACNAGCACCGAAATATTGATGCTTTTGAACTGTGGTGTAGGAGAAGGCTCTTGAGAGTCCCTTGGACAGCAAGGAGAGGTAGAGCCACCTCTACACATCTCTTGTGTACGCTTTGCTCTGTTGGAGAGATCTAGTGAGCCCAGCTCTGTCAGGAAAATTGTTGGCTTTAATGGAAAAACACCCAGTGTGTGAAACTGCGTACCAGACCTAGGGGCTACAGGGTGCGCATGTTGCTCGAGTGGGCCCTGAAGCACTGCAAACTAGCAAAAGCTTGAATATCCATCCAATTGCTCTTTTTGGAGGTCTGAGAGAGCTAGATTTGCTCCACCCATTGGCAGTGTGTAAGGAAGAGGGGCAAAGCCCCTCCCCAGAGGGACGTGTGCCTACATAGAGAGGAAAGGCCCCTTTGAAGAGCTGAGCCCAGGAAGGCACCCAGTCATGCCATACACACTCCGGTTACTTGCTTCCTCATTGGCAGTACTGCTCTCAGCTTGGAATGTCTTTGCAAAGATCGCAAAGGGAATGGGAGATGCATGGCCCAACCTCTGGAACTTCAGTCCTCTGAGCAGAGCTGGAGGTCTCCCGTTGAATCAGCAAACCTCTTGCTTCAAACAGAGGCTGGCAAACACACTGTGGCTTGCTGTCTCTTCTTCCCCGAAGGAGGCTCACTTTTCTTGCATCCTGCAAATTTCCTGTCCCAGCCTCCTGGAAAAGTGCTTCTTAGAGTTCCTTTCTTAAGGGCACTTATCCTTGAGTCTGGGCTACTAGGGAGTAGCCTCACTCCCAGAAGGAAAGGTACAGCCATGTCCACACATCTCTTGCGTCCCCTTTGCTCTGTAGGAGAACTATAATGAGCCAAGTTCTCTCTGGAAAATTCAGGGCTTTGATGGGAACACACTCTGTCTGTTAACCAGCATACCCGTCCTAGGGGCCCCAGGGCGACTGAATCTCTTGAGTGGACCCGGAAGTGGTTCAGACAAGCAAGAGCTTGAAAATACACCTAATTTCTCTTTTCGTACTTCTCACAGAGCCATCTTTGTTCCACCTATTGGCAGTGTGGAAGGAAGAAGGCCAAAGCCCCTCCACAGAGGGACTTGGTGTCTACTTGGAGAGGAAAGGCCCCTTTGAAGAGCTAATCCCAGGAAGGCACCCAGTCATGCCAAAACTCTCCTGCTGCTTGCTTCTTTATAGACAGTACTGCTATTACCTAGAAATGTTGTTGCAAGGATTGCAAGGGAAGGGGACATACATGGCCTTACCTCTGGAACTTCGGTCCTCTGGGCCCAACTGGAGGTATGTACGTGACCTTGGCTCACTAGAGCTCTCCTACAGAGTAAAGGAGGTACAAGAGATGTGTTGACGTGGCTGTGCATTTCCTTTTGAAAGTGGGGCTACTCCCTCTTTCCCCAGGCTCAGGAGTAACTGACCCTAGAAAGGAAATCTAAGACGCACTTTTCGAGGAGGCTATGACAGGAAATTCGCAGGATGCATGAAAAGCGAGCCTCCTTCGGAGAAGAGACAGCAAGCCACTGTGTGTTTGCCAGCCTCTATTTGAAGCAAGAAATTCGCTGATACAAAAGGTAACTCCAGTTCTGCTCAGAGGACCAAGTTTCAAATGCTGGGCCATGTAATACCCCTTCCCTTTGTGATCCTTGCAACAACATTTCTAGCTGATAGCAATAGTGCCCATGTAGAAGCAAGAAGCAAAAGAGTATTTGGCATGACTGGGTGCCTTCCTGAGCTCAGCTCCTCACAGGGGCATTCCTCTTGAAAGAGGGCCCAACTCCCTTTGGGGAGGGGCTTTGGACCTCTTCTTTCCACACTGACAAAGGTTGGAGCAAAGCTAGCTCTGTGAGACGTCCGAAGGGTGCAATTGGATAGATTTTCAAGCTCCTGCTAGTATGCAGCCTTTAGGGCCCATAAGAGCAATAGGGGTGTGCTGTAGCCCCTGTGCTTTGTAGCCCCCTAGGTCTGGAAACTTCTGGGCTTTGATGGGAACACACCCTGTCTGTTAACCTGCATACCTGACCTAGGGGCCCAAGGGCGACTGATTCTCCCGAGTGGGACTTCAAGTGGTTCAGATTGGCAAGAGCTTGAACATCCACCCAACTGCTCTTTTCGTACCTCTCACAGAATCAGCTTTGTTCCATTCATTGGCAGGGTGGAAGGAAGAGGGGCAAAGCCCTTCCCCAGTGGGATTTGGGGCCTACTTAGAGAGAAGAGCACTTTTGAAGAGCTGAGTCCAGGCGGGCACCCAATCATGCCAAACACACTCCCGCTGCTTGCTTCCTCATTGGCAGTACTGCTCTCAGCCGGGAATGACTGTGCAAGGATTGCAAAGGAAACGGGATTTTCACAGCTATGTCACTAGAACTTCAGTCCTCTGAGCAGAGACGGAGGTCTCCCATTTGATCAGCAAACCTCTTGCTTCAAATAGAGGCTGGCAAACACACCATGGCTTGCTGTCTCTTCTTCCCCGAAGGAGACTTGCTTTTCCTGCATCCTGCAAATTTCCTGTCCCAGGCTCCTAGCAAAGTGCTTCTTAGAGTTCCTTCCTTTGAGAAGGGTAGTTATCCCTGAGCTTGGGGTAATAGGGAGTCGCCCTACACTGAAACGGAAAGGTGAAGCCACGTGCACACATCTCTGGCGTTCCCTTTGCTCTGTAGGAGAGCTCTAGTGAGACTAAGTCTGACCAGGAAATTCTTGGCTTTAGCGGTAAGACACCCAGTTTCAGGAACTGCATACCAGACCTAGGGGCTACAAGGCACCCATTTGGTTGACTGGGCCTGAAAGTCTGCATAATATAAGAGCTTGAATATCCATACAGTGCTCCCTTCAGTTGCAGAGCTAGCATTGATCCAACTTTTGTCATTGTGGAAAGATGGGGCAAAAGCCGCTACCCAAAGTTACTTGTGGCCTACGTAGAGAGGAACGGCCCCTTTGAAGAGCTGAGCCGAGGATGACACCCGGGCATGCCAAACATTCTCCCTTTGCTTGCTTCTTCAAGGGAGTACTGCTCTAAACCTGGAATGTCCTTCCTAGGATTTCAAAGGAAACGGGAGGTACACGGGCCTGTGTGTGGAACATCAGTCCTCTGAGCAGAACTGGAGGTCTTCCGTTATATCAGCAAGTCTCTTCCTTCAAATACAGACAGACAAACACACCGCGGGTTGCTGTCTCTTCTTCCCCAAAGGAGGCTCACTTTTCCCGCATCCTGCGAATTTCCTGTCCCAGGCTCCTGGAAAAGCACTTCTTCGAGTTCCTTTCTTATAGGTAGCTATCCCTGAGCTTGGGGTAATAGGGAGTCGCCCCACTCTGAAACGGAAAGGTCCAGCCACGTGCACACATCTCTGGCGTCCCCTTTGCTCTGTAGGATAGCTCTAGTGAGACTGGGTCTGTCCAGGAAATTCTTGGCTTTAACGGGAAAACACTCAGTTTCAGAAACTGCATACAAGACCTAACAGCTAGAAGGAACCCCTTTTGCTAGACTGGGCCCTAGTGCTGCACAATAGAAGAGCTAGAAAATCCATACAATTGCTCCCTTCAGATGTCATGCAGAGCTAGCTTTGCTCCAAACTTTGCCATTGTGGAAAGACAGAGCCAAAGCCGCTAGCCAAAGGTACTTGTGGCCTACATAGGGAGGAAAGGCCTCTTTGAAGAGCTGAGGCCAGGAAGGTCCCAAATCATGCTAAACACACTCCCCCTTCTTGAGTCCTCATTGGTAGTACTGCTCTCAGCCAGGAATGCCTCTGAAAGGATTGCAAAGGAAATGGGCTTTACACGGCCCTCTCACTAGAACTTTGCTGCTCTGAGCAGAACTAGAGGCCTCCTGTTGTATCAGCGAACTTCTTGCTTCAAATAGAGGCTGGCAAACACACGGTGGCTTGCTGTCTCTTCTTCCCTGAAGGAGGCTCGCTTTTCCCGCAATCTGCGAATTTCCTTTTTCAGGCTCCTAGAAAAGCGCTTCTTAGAGTTCCTTTCTTCAGAGCAGTTATCCCTGAACCTTGGGGAATAGGGAGTCACCCCACTTTCAGAAGCAAAGGTAAAGCCACGGGCACAAAACTCTTGCATCCAATTTACTCTGTTGGAGAGCTGTAGGGAGACTAGGTCTGTCTGGGAAATTCTTGGCTTTAAACGTAAAACAGCCAGTTTCAGGAACTGCATACCAGACCTAGGGGTAAAAGACACCCATTTTGCTCGACTGGCCCTAAAGTGCTGCCTAATAGTGGAACTTGAAACTCCATACAATTGCTCCCTGCACACGTCTCATAGAACTAGCTTTTCTCCAACGTTTGTCAGTGTGAAAAGACAGGGCCAAAGGCACTCCACAGGGTACTTGTGGCCTACATATGAGTAAAGGCCACTTTGAAGGGCTTGGCCCAGGGGGGCCCCCAATCATGCC